CGGGAGTCCTGGATCGAGTTCCCACCTGCCAGCTTCAGCTGGGCCCAGCCCTGACCACTGCAAGCATTTGGAAGAGTGACCCTCTCTCCATACAATCCCAATGCCTTGTCTGTTTAGGATTTCCACTTATGGATAAGTAAATGTTTGGCCTTTCAATCCCCAATACTGCATTTGTCTTGTTTTGTTTCTCCCATGTTCGTTTCTGCTCCATTCTGGGAGAGATTTTAGCGGGGAGTTTGTGTGTCTCAGGTGGAGGTCACCATATTCCTATGCTGGATGTGTAGAAGCTAGGGTCTTCCCCAGAGCAGTGTGTGAAGAAGATGAGGGTCCTGAGCCGCCCACCTGCCCCCACTCACCAGACAGGCTTGTGTATCCACCTTACTGTTAATGGTGGCAGTTGCTGGGAAAAGGCTGGGACAGGAGCCAAGCAAGGTCAGGCACTGAAGACTTGAGCCAAGCATCACAAACAGTAGCTGGGTCTTGGGACTGGAACGGTGTCTAAGCCAAGATCAAGGTTGTTGGGATAGAAGGAGGTTGGGTTGATACCCTCACTCCTATCTTGGCTATCTCCGTTGGGGTGGAGTGTCCAGATAATTGTCAGGTGAGTCTAAGAGCAGAATACAATATTTACAATTCTTTTTATTTACTTGAAAAGGGAAGGGCTCAGCATGGGGCCTAGCAGCTTAAGTCCTTAACTTGCATGTGCCAGGATCCCATATGGGCGCCGGTTCTAATCCTGGCAGTCCGCTTCCCAACCAGCTCCCTGCTTGTGACCTGAGAAAGCAGTTGAGGACGACCCAAAGTATCCTGCACCCGCGTGGGAGACCTGGAGGAGGTTCCTGGCTCCTGGCTTCTGATGGGTGCAGCTCTGGCTGTTGTGGTCAGATGGAAGATCTTCCTCTCTCTCCCCTTCTCTGTATATCTGATTTTGCAATACAAAAAAAAAAGTTTTAAAGATTTATTCATTTTCATTGCAAAGTCAATTTACAGAGAGGAGGAGAGAGAGAGGAAGATCTTTCGTTTGGTGATTCACTCCCCAAGTCACCACAACGGCTGGAATTAGGCACAAGGCTACTATGGTGGAAAGAAAGAAAGAGAAAGAAAGAAAGAATGAAGAAAGAAAGAAAGGAAGGAAGGAAAGAAAGGGAGAGAGAGAGAAAGGAAGGAAAGAAGGAAGGAAGGAAGGAAGGAAAGAAAGAAAGAAAGAAATAAAGAAAGAAAGAAAGGAAAGAGAGAGAGAGAGAAAGAAAGAAAAGAAAGAGAGAAAGAGAGAGAGAAAGAGAGAGAGAGAAAAAGAAAAGATCTTCTGTAAAGTGGTTCATTCCCCAAGTGGCTCAGCTGGAGCTGAGCTAATCCGAAGCCAGGAGCCAGGAGCCTCTTCTGGATCTTCCTGTGGGTGCAGGGTCCCAAGGCTTTGAGCCATCCTCTACTGCTTTCCCAGGATACAAGCAGGGAGCTGGATGGGAAGTAGAGCAGCTGGAGTACAAGGACCCCCAAATGTAGCATGGGCACCAGAACAGACGATTCATCCCGTCTCCCTTCTCCCCCTCCCTGTGCTTCGAGCTCCACCTAGGCCAATCTGTAGGTTTCCTGGCCCTAACTTTTGCCACTGCAACTGCCATTCCACACTTGTTGTAGCTTGCTCGCAGCCCCTGCCCTGGTGTGTCTTCCCCTGACCTTCACCCCTGTTCTCTCCCTGCCCACCTGCATGTCTCCACTTCTTCCCCCAACTCTTCTGCCTCAGCAGGAGCCCTTGCCACTGCTGAGAGAAGGCCCCCTCAGCCAACGGCCCCCCCTTGCTTCCCATCACCCGACTTGACACTCCTGGCCAAGGCTCCCTCGTTGCGTCAAGGTTCTCTTTTATCCTGGCCTTCTAGAAATAGGGAAGTAAGCATAGGCTTCGGGCCCTTGAACTCACAGGTCACATCTTCAGCTTGGGGCTGGGTCTGTGGCACTGTAGGTTAAATCCCTGCCCATGGTCAGATCCCAGATGACTCAAGAGTCTGGTGGTTCCACTTCTTTTTTTAAGATTTATTTATTAAAAATATATTTATTTATTTTTATTGAAAGGCAGATAGACAGAAAGGAGTGACAGAGAGAGGAAGATCTTCTGTCCAATGGTTCACTCCCCAAGTGACCGTAATAGCTGGAGCTGAGCCAATCCGAAGCCAGGAGCCAGGAGTGCTTCTGGGTCTCCCACGTGGGTGCAGGGTCCCAAGGCTTTGGGCCATCCTCAGCTGCCTTCCCAGGCTACAAGCTGTTCCACTTCTGATTCAGCTCCCTGCTGTTAGTCTGAAAAAGTAGTGGAAGAAGGCCCAAGTGCTTGGGCTCTTGCACTCATGTGGGAGACCAGGAGGAAACTCTTGGCTGTGAACTGGCCCAGCTCAAGCCATTGCAGCTATCTGGGGAGTGAACCAGCACATGGAAGAGCTTTCTTCTCTGTAATTCCATCTTTAAAATTAAAAAACAAAAAACAAAACAAAAAAACCCTCAGTGGCTATGACTCCATGCCTCCTAGCTGGTCTCTTTATCTCTGAAGCAGAACAGTAGTAACCTCCCAAGCCTGCGGTGAGGACCCAGCCCTGACCTCACGGTCCAGCCCAGGACCCTGCCCTGCAAGGACCCTTTGCTTTCTGCTGCTTTCTGGTTGCTGGTCCCCACTCCCATGTTCCTTCAATGGAACCATTCTCTCAGCTGCCTCTGTTTTCTTCCTAGCTCTGACCCTTGCAAATCTGGATTTAACACCAGGGTTGCCGAGCAGTGGCTTAACAAACCGCACCACTGTGTCTGCCCCCAAGCACAGATTCACAGGTCACATTTTTTTGTTTGTTTGTTTGTTTGCTTGTTTTTAAACACTTATGTATCTATCTGAAAGCCGGGGTGATACAGACAGAGGGAGAGGCAGGCATCTGTTGGATGAAGCCAGGAGCCTGGGAACCCTGTCCTGATCTCCCAGGTGGGTGTTAGGAGCCCAGCCAAGCAGGCTACCCTGTGCTGTCTTCCCAGGCATATCAGCAGGGAGCCGGGGTGGAAGTGGAGCAGAACAGACTCCAAACGGCCCTCCAGTGTGGGATAATGGTGATTTAACCCACTGCACTACAATGCCATGCCTGAGGTCACTTTCATCTCTGGTCCGACTCCTCTTGCCTTAGTATCCTGGTGTGTGTGTGCATACGCACGTGTGAGGTATCCAGCTGGAGGCCCTGGTATGCTTCTTACAGCAGCTGGTCCCTGAGTGTCAAGATACGGCCTCCATACTCCATCTGATGAACCACACAGCCACGTTTCAGCAATCCTCCAGGCCACCCAAATACCCAACAGCATTCTGAAGCACGCACATTGCCCCCTTCCTATCTTAGTCCCCATCTTGTGAGGCATCCAGGGACTGCCTTATGTGACCGAGCACATTACTACCCTAACGAAGTTCATTTCTCAGGGCCTGCTCTGGGCCCTGGCTCCCACCTCCTCAGCTGTTCCCCACCCGGCCTCTGCAGCTGGCCCGGGAGCAAGTGTTGAACTTGGTGCTGGGAGATCCAAGGTCTTTTAGTCTGGCTTGCAGACCACATTGCCCCACTCTTCACCACATCCTTCCCTAGCCCTTTGAGGCAGCCAACCCCAGCTTCCACGTGCTTTTACACAAGGCTGCTTTATCTTCCTGTGCGGAGCCCAGAGCTCGCCCCTGAGTCCTGTAAGTTCCCCTCTTCCCTTCTCCTGTCCCCTTGTCCCTCAGCTGAGTCCTTCCAGCTGTCACCTGAGGCTTCTGCCTTTCTTTACTGCGAAGACAGGAGGACCATACGACTTGGGCAGACAGCCACCGCCCTCTTCCCTCACTGCCTCCTCCTACAAGCCTGGCATCCCATGGCAGCGATGAATGCTCCTTTCTTCACACTCCTTGCCACTCCTCCTCCACGGACTGCCTGCCTGATAACGGGGAGCAAGGTCCAGCAGGGGCTTGGTGTGCCCGGTTGGAAGGTGGCGATCCTGGAGACTGGCTCTTGGCCCAAACCCCTCCCGCATCCTACTGGCTCTGGTCAGCTACTTGCCTTCTGGGTGCAGCTACACCCCAAGATTCAGGCAGTGAGTGGCTCCAGGGGCAGGATTAGAGCCTAAGAGGTGGACCACACGTGGAAGTGCACTCAGCTCCCCTGAGGCCACCGCCCTGTCACTGGCCTCTGCAGTGTGCCGGGCTGAGCTGGGGGAGTCCCAGCCTGTGGTTGTCCTGGCGTCCTACCCACCCCCCAGGGAGGGCACAGGCACCCTCAGAGGAGTCCAGATCTTGCCAAAGTTCCACACCTCTGAGGGAAGGACCCACTTTGTCGCGAAGTGGCCGGGTGGGGTGGCCCTTGGAGATGGTTGCCTCCTTTTTTTTTCAAGCCAGCCGCCCTCACAGAGCATTTGGGAGATTTCTCGGGGACGTTTTTGGAAGTCCCCAAGCAGTCCAGAGGACTCGGGGATAGGGGGTGGGCTTGGGGACCCCAAACCCAGGCAGGGCAGAGGCAATGGGTGGGCTTGGGGAGGCGGCGGAGGAAGTCCCGAGCAGGGACACCCGCCTCCTGTCCCCAGCGTATCGGCCGTCCTCTCCGAGGGCAGCTCCCGGCCATCTGCCGGCTCCTTCGCTTCCTCTCGTCCGCCTCCTTCGCCGTGCCCGGGGCCAGCGAGCGGGGGCCAGCGGGGGCCAGCGGGGGCCAGGCGACGCTCGGCCCCGCCGTCCTGCCCCGAGCTGGCGCGGGGCTGGGGAGTCTGCCAGGACCCCGAGGCGCCGGGAGCTCCTGGCAGTCGCTGCGGGCCCCGACCGGCGTGGGGTGGGCGCTGGTTATCAGGCCCGGGCCACGCGGCCGCGGCGGGGCGGGGGGCTCGGCCCGCCCCGGTGACTCAGGCCGCAGCTGTTCCGGCGTCACATGAGGGAGGCTGGCGGCCACCTGGCGGGGGCGGGCGCCGGGGCCGGAGCCCGGGGCGGGGCCGTGGAGGGCGGGCGGTGCAGCCGGGGCTGGCGGGGGCGCCGCTACTGAGCCCCGGGACCGCGGCGGGAGCGGAGCGCGTAGCCTCGGGGAGCGCAGGTGAGGCCTGGGGCCGCGGGGTCCCGGCCGGCAGCCGCAGTCCCCGCGTCCAGACCAGCTCGCCCCGGGATACCGAAGGCCAGCCCCGCGCTCTCGGCCCTGGAGCAACTTTGCTTGGAAGTTCCAGAAGCCTGGCAGGGGAGGGCGGGGGTGCCTACCGCACTTCTCCCCTCCCCCGGGGGCACTGCCGGGACCGAGTCCTGGTGGAGAAGGGGAGAAGAGCGTGCGTGCGGGGTGGGCTCGGGACCGGGCGAAGGGCTATTTTATCGGACTGCCTGGGCGCCCCGGGTTGCTGGGGCCGAGGGTCGGCGTCGACCTCGAGCTCCCGGCCGCTGCCCTTGGATCTGCCCGAGGGCCCCTAGTGCCCCGGCCCTGGGCGGCGGGAGGGGTCCGCGGGGCGCCCACCCCGCCGCGGGAGCCGAGAGGGGGCTGGGCGACGTGGATCTGACCGCGGGGTTTCCGGGTGGGAGGGTCCAGGAATGGGGGCCGGGCAGGGAAGGCCTCGAGGGCCGGCAGGGAGCCGGGAAACCGAAGTCCCCCCTCGGCCGGTTCCAAGCCTCCCTTCCTCGCCTCCCCTTGAACCCCAGGTGCTGCAGCCATGGCGGTGGAAGGAGGAATGAGATGTGTCAAGTTCTTGCTCTACGTCCTGCTGCTGGCCTTTTGCGTGAGTGCGAGAACGGGAGCGGGAGCGCTGGCGGGGCGGGGTGAGCCCTGGCGCCCGAGAGCGGAGGACCGGAGAAAGCAGGCAGCTGGAGGCCAGATGTGCTGCCCAAGCTCGGGGACCGGGCCGGAGGCGGCGCCGCCACCCCGCGCTGTGGCTTTCAGGGATCCCTGAGGCTTGTGGAGGGCTGAAAAAGGCCATCATGGCACGCAGCACCCCCACTCCCACCCCATCCCTCCTGGCCCTTCCTGTCTGGTGACCCAACCACTTGTGATTCTCAGGGCGGTGGGGCAACCAGCCAACGGCCCGATGCTATCACCATAGGTCTCTGTCCTCATCAGCCTGTGGCCCTGTCTTCCTGCCCCCCACATCCTTCCCCCATAGCCTCCCAGAGTTTTTTTTTTTCCCCTCTGGTGTGGGGAGGCCAGGAAGGGCGCTGCCCCCTGCAGTTGGAAAAGCCACTATTTGTGCAGGGAGGGGCTCACTGTTCTTGCCCCCTTCTCCTTCCTGGCGTAAGGACCTTAGTCACAGGTGAGGCGTGGGCTGGCCACTGGAGCCCCACCCCACCCTGCCCCCAGGACATGCGGCCAGGGCAGAGCTGGGCGCCTGGAGGCTTGTCCCAACGCCTCCTGTGGCCTGGAATGTGTGCCCTGAGGTCCAGGCCCGCTGGTGGCTTCTTTTGCATTTTGTCCCTGGCTTCTGGGACTCCCTTCTCCCAGGGCGCCTGGAGCAGCTTCCCCAGCGTGGGACAGGGATGGGCCATCTTTCCTGTCCAGCCCTGTCCTACTCTATGTTCTGGTGGGCTGCTGGCTGGTGGGTCTGGCCTGACTCTCTTGCCCGCCCGCCTCTCTGTCTCAGGCCTGTGCGATAGGACTGATTGCCGTGGGTGTTGGGGCCCAGCTTGTCCTGAGTCAGACCATAACCCATGGAGCCACTCCCGGCTCCCTGCTGCCAGTGGTCATCATCGCAGTGGGCGCCTTCCTCTTCCTGGTGGCCTTTGTGGGCTGCTGCGGGACGTGCAAGGAGAACTACTGTCTCATGGTCACGGTGAGTGGTGAGTGGGAGCACCCACCAGGGGCTGCCCCCGAGGCCTTTCTGTGGTAAGGGGGCAGGAGCGGGTGGGTGAGGCTGGGCTGGGGTATATGGCTGTGGACTGGTGACCTTGACTCATGTCTCCTTCCCACAGTTTGCTGTCTTCCTGTCTCTCATTATGCTGGTGGAAGTGGCTGCGGCCATCGCTGGCTATGTGTTTAGAGACAAGGTGAGCAGGGAGGGAGGGCAGAGCCCCACCTGGGCCTCTCTGAACTCTGGGCCCAAGTTCCCATCTCACCAGGGCTCTTCCTGATCCCTAGGTGATGTCTGAGGTGAACAAGGACTTCCAGCAGCAGATGCAGAGCTACCTGACAGACAACCACACTGCTTTCGCCTTGGACAGGTTGCAGGAAGATGTGAGTGGGCTTGTGGCGAGAGGCAGGGGAAGGGCTGTGATGCAAGGACGGGAGGTTCCTTTCCATCCTGTGGGGTGGAGGGTTACTTCTAGCCCCTTTCCCTTGTCACCCTACCCTTGTCCAGAACAAGTGCTGTGGGGCTGCCAACTACACGGATTGGGCGGCCATCCCTGGCCTGGGCAAGGACCGGGTTCCTGACTCCTGCTGTGTCAATGTGACCGCGCACTGTGGGGTGAAATTCAATGTGACGGACATTTATGTTGAGGTAGGCAGAAGACTGAGAGAGGGTGGGGCTTGGGTAACCTGGAGGGGGAGCAGGGTCAGGGATGGTGTTGGAGTGCTGGGAGGTACAAGGTACATGGGAAGTTCTGATGGTGTCTGCCTCTCCTCAGGGCTGTGTGGAGAAGATCGGGCTGTGGCTGAGGAAGAATGTGCTGGTGGTGGCTGCAGCAGCACTGGGCATTGCCTTTGTGGAGGTGAGAGATGGCCTGGGCAGGGGCCGGGTGCCTGGGTGTACTGGGGTCCCACGGGCACATCTAGGGTGGGCAGCCTTCCTGACCCTCCACCTCCCCATCCTCCTAGATCCTGGGCATTGTCCTGGCCTGCTGCCTCGTCAAGAGCATCCGAAGTGGCTATGAGGTGATGTAGGGCTCTCTCCAGCCCCCTCCATCCAGGGAAGCCGAGGTTTTTCAATTAAACGGATTATTTTTTCACACCCAAAAAAGAGATGGTGTCAGTTTGTCTTAAAGAGTGATCCTTGGGCTTGCGCCATGGTGTAGCAGGCTAAGCCTCTGCTGTGCAGTGCTGGCATCCCATTTGGGTGTTGGTTTGAATCCCAGCTGCTCCATTTCTGATTTAGTTCCCTGCTGATGTTCCTGGGAAGGCAGTGGAGGATGGCTTAAGTCCTTGGGCCCCTGTACCCAAATGGGAGACCCAGAGGAAGCTCCTGGCTCTACTGGCTCACCTCAGGCCATTGGAGCTATTTGGGGAATGAACCAGTGGATGGAAGATCTGTCTCTCTTCTCTTCTGTAATTCTGCCTTTTGTGAAAACAACAACAAAAGCACAAATCTCAACCCCTGTCTTCCTATTCATGTTCTGTGCTCTGCACCTCTGGGAAGGCCTGCGTGTGTGTGTGTGTGTGTGTGTGTGTGTGTGGTGTTGCGGGGCATTAGGGAAAAGAGGATGTATTTGAATGTGTTGCTTGGGCTGGAAGGGGGAGGTAGGGTCTGGGGGAGGTTATGGTCCAGTGCCCTCCCTGCCCTTCTCTGCTCTGTGCTAGAACATTCATAAACTACTTCCCTTGTAACTCACAGGGATTCCCACCAAGGCATTATTTCTGGGAACTCCTCCCAGGTCACTTGCAGTCATCTTCCTGGGCTTCTGTGCACTCAGGGGCCACGCCCCTCCCTTTCCTGGTGCTCAAGAGGAACCTGCCCCTTCCAGGATGCAATGAGATTGTGTGGCCACTGTCCCTTGTTCTGAACTTAGAAGACTGAATATTCTTTTCTTCCATGGAAACCACCCACGTCGACCTTTATGCTGCCTCATCACCATTTTTCCTGCCCCATGGGAAACAGATCAAGAGCCATTCCCAGTACAAATGCAGAAACATAGACACGAGGAAAGTGCCCTCTGGTGGCCACTCCTTTAGGTGCAGCTTCAAAGTTCAACCAAAGATAAAAGGGGTTCCCCCAGTGTTCAATAGTGGGTGCCTGTGACCTCATCGCTTACGCTTTGCTTTTCTAGACAGTACACATTTATTGCATGCCTATTTGGTGCCAGACGCCAGGTGTTACCAGAGGGAGGACAGCAGTGGATCCCAGTGCTTGCCCCTGCTGGGAGGATTGATTCAGTAGACTGCCTGGGCAGGCTTGGGAAGGACCCAGCAGAGCACAGCATCCACCAGGCTGGCTGGCAGGTAGGAGGCAGGCAGCCAGAGCAGCTTGGCGTCCCAGCCAGGGCTGTAACGGGTTCGAGGGTGACGAGCAGTCAGGGCATGTTCCAGGCACTTGCTCACCTTGGTGAGGTCTGGGTCACAGATCAAGTTCATGATGTGCCGCTGCACAGTCAGGTCTGCAGGCCCAAGGTGGGTTTTGTCAACCTGTGATCTAAGGCCTGCTGCCCACCTCCCAGGCTCTCTCTTCTAGGTCCTGGGACGTGTTCCCAGCAAGATGAGAGGGCTCCTAGGTCCCTGCCCGACTTTGGGGGCAGGGGAGAGTCCCTGTGGCATCATATGGGACCTCACCAATCCCAGCAGGCCAACAAGGGGCTGGGCTCTCGAACCCACTTTCCGTGCCCCCAGCTGGCCCTGTTACTCACACTTAGTGAGGAAGGTTTCCCCGTAGCAGGCCTGTGTAGCTGGGGGCAGCCGTGCCCAGCAGGCCTGCAGACCAGTTTCCAGCGTCTTCAGGTTGGTCACAGGTGTTTGGAAGAAGCCAGGCTCCACGATGGAGACACGGACCCCAAAGGGAGCCACGTCCCGCCTAGAATGGGAGCAGAGGGAGGGCCCCGGGTGCTTGTCCTGTGGGACACAGGTGGGGGTGTGGAGGAAGTTCCCACAGATAAGGGACACGAGGCCTGATGTGGGGCGGGGGTGGGGGTGTGGGGCACTGCCTGGCAGGAGATGAAGGGATGTTTAAAGTTTGTTTCTCCCCATTTTTCTCTGATCTATAGCAGATGTCGGTAGACTTTTCCTTAAGGGGTTATGTGATGGTTCAGGGACTGCAGGCTAAGAAACTGCCGTTACCATTACAAGCTTATGGCACTGGGAAGCACAGCTGGCCTGCTCTGGACCTAGAGGAACCCCATTTCCTAACTTCCAAAACACAGGCTTGGGTTCTGAGTGTTGATCTGAAGGCGGCAGGATCTGGTTGGGAGGGGAGAGGGCACCTCCCAAGGCCCTGGTGCCGATGTCACGAGAAGTTCAGGCATGGGGTGTGTGTTCCAGGCTGAGGAAGTGGGACAAAGGGGGAGAATGCTGACCATGATGGGTGAAGGTGAGGCGTGCTCGGCTGGAGCAGCCTGTACTTGGGCTCAAGCCCTGCTCCCCTGTCGTCCTCACCCAGCCTCCTTGGTGTACCTACAGGCCTCTGAACGTGATTGTTTAACTAGGAGTGGGGCAGGGGAGCACAAGGAGCAGCCTGGGAGGCCAGTGGGCTGGGGGCAAGGCCCAGCATGCCCATCAGTTGTTTGCACTATTGCCTGCTTTTGGGTTTATGCTGGTTTCTTCATGAGGCTAGCAGGCTGAGAACTTCAGTCTGAGCGCTCAGGACCTACCAGGCACCATGGATTCCCTCTATTCACCTCCCACAACTTCAGGGAGGTAGGTCTTCTCATCCCCGCTTAACAGATGAGGTGAAGAGAAGGAATCTTTGTAAGATTCTGATTCGCAGGAAACAAAGTTTGGATCTGAATCCATGAAGTCTAGCCCTGAACTCTGTCCTGCTAAATCCTTCACTCCCCTGGGTCTGTCCTGTCCCCCAGTCTGGTGCCCCCTTACCTCAGGCTGTCGGAGAAGGCCTCCAGGCCAAACTTGGAGACGCAATAGCCCCCACCGTTGGCTGCCAGGCGACCCAGGACGCTGGTGATGTTCACCACCCGGCCCCGGGCCCGCTGCAGCAGGGGCAGCAGGGCCAGAGTGACCCCGATGGGCCCTAATGTGTTCACACTCAGCACGTGGTAGAAATCATCTCGGGTCAGCCACAGTGTGGGCCCAATGATGCCAGCCACGCCAGCGTTATTCACCAGACCGAAAAGCCCTGTGGGGGGGACAGGAGACGATGCCGAGGGCAGGCAGGTGAGGCACCTCCACAAGTGACCCCTGTGGTGAGGGTGCTCACCTGCTTCCTTAACATGCATCTCCACCCACTTGGCTGCCCGCTGCACACTCTGGGGGTCAGTGACATCCAGCAGGGTGGTGTGGAGGCGGGAGGAAGCCACCTGCTGCAGGTTCTCTGCGCCCGAGGGCGTCAGGCAGCCAGCCAGGACTTGGAAGCCCCTCTGGTCCAGTCGCAGTGCCAGGAGGCGCCCAAAGCCTGAGTCACAACCGGTGATGAAGACGAAGGCATCCTTGGCAGGCAGCCTCTGACGGTCCCTGAACCACCATACCACGGCCCAGAGCAAGGCACCCAGTAGCAGAGGCAGCCACATGGTGGGGAGCCCCAGTGGCCTGTAGGTGGCAGCCTAGGCTGGGTGGGAAAACCTGGCCAGTTGACCATGGTCCCCCACCCTTGCCCGCAATATCCTCCCTGTCTGAGAACATCTGGGCTGAGCTGTTTGGTGAATGACTGATAACTACAGCTCATGTAGGCAATGCAAAGATGTGGGCAGGCCCTGCACTGTGGCTAACTGGACTCAAAGCAGACACACCAGTGTTGGGTGCAGGCCTGCTGTTCTGTAGCAGAGACTTCGTTAGCTATCACTTCTCCTCTGCCACGAAACCAGGGACCCTTCAACGCCTAAGCATAACCTGGGCCTTGTGTCTGGAACCACAGATGGAGTTGGAAGCCCTTTATTTGAGTCCAGGTGACCCCCAACTCATCTGCTAGTATCTTTGGACTTCATTAGCCAGGTGGGGCTGACATCCTCAAAGTCCTGAGTGTAATTGGACATTGTAAGAGGAATGAAGATGTGACAAGCCTGGAGTTCCCAGTTAGGACCACAAGGGAAGCCCAGCTCCTCTCCCAGCCCTCAGCGCCCAGGGTCCACCTTACCTCCTGGGAGGACAAGCTCGCAGGTCCTACAATGCCTGAAGCTGCTGCTTTTGCTTTTAACGAGACTTTCCTCCCAGCTTCCCAGGCTCACACACCAGCTACAGCAGAGGCCCAAGTCCAGAGTGGGTGGCCTCAGATGTCAGGACTATTAAGCATCTGTGCTTGCGAGGGGGTGGGGCAGTGGGCTGGGGAGGAGGAGCCCTGGGAGGTTGGAGGTCTGAGGCCGGCTGCCTGAGACCAGGGTATAGAAGAGGCCACTCTGCTCAGACCTCTTTGGGGCTGTTTTCTCTTTGGGGAAGAGACCACTTCGATCATGTTCTCCCAGGGGCTGGAACTTTCAGGATTGTAGATGCCCCTCTTTGTTGGTGGCCTTGGTGATCTGTCATCCCTGCCCCTTCTCAGTGCTGACCTGTTTCCTAGAGTTAATCTTCCACCTGGCTCAGACTCATGACAGTACTTAGTGCCAGCCTGGGAGCGATCATGAGCACGTGGCAAGGCAGGGAGCCAGAGCTGGGGCCCAGGCCTGCTCCGTGTCATGTCCCGGATGATGATGCTTGGGGCAGGGGCCACTAGGACCTTCTCTAGGGAGGTGTGGGAAGCTGCCACACTCCGATCACCCAACAGAGGCCCTGAGAGAAAGAGAAAGAGGAGAGAATCCGAACAGTAAGAGAAGTGAGTGCCACCTTTTATCTAAAAGGCATTGTCCAACAGGAAACCGTTTGAATTCTCTCTCCCCTGCCACACCAGAGTGCCTTGAAACACCACATAGGAGCAGAAGCTTAGGTTTTATTCCTGCTGTGACACATGAGGTAGGGGCGGGGGATGGAGAGCAGGACAGAGCGGCTAGGAGGGGGCGGACTGCAGCTGGCCTTTGTACACATATTCCAGCGCTGTGGCGATGGTGCGCATGTCCAGCTCGATGCTCCGGGCCCAGTTCTCCACATCCCCAATTTCCTGGGAAAGGGAGGGGGGATTAGGTGGAGGGGCCCCCAGGACAACCCCTGGAAAGAGTTTGCCTTGCACTCTCCAGTGGCTTTTCTTGCCTTGGCTTCTCTGACACGGGGGCCACAGGTGGGGTTTCTGGGACCACCTTCACTTCCTTCCTCAACTCCAGGCCCGAGGGAGCCAGACCCTGGGCAGCCAGGATGGGGAGGGGATAGAGTGAGCAAGGCCCACCTTAAGTGCCTGGTTGAAGTTCTCCACCATCCCGATCCACTGGCCTGTCTGCTTGGCAAACTGGGCAGCCTGCACCTGCAGGGTCTTCACCTCGTGGTCCAGCTTCCTCTGGTTCATGTAGGCCTGGGCCACACTAAGGTATAGAGGAGGAAGGAGGTTAGCTCACTCAGCTTGTGTGTGTGTGTGGGGGGGGTTGGTCCCTAGAACTAATGTTCCACTGTGGTAGGGGGAAGCCAGCCAGCAGTCCCGGATCAGGGGTTGCGGGGGGAGTGGGCAGGGGAGTGGGGGAGACTGGAGGATTTTGGCTAACCTTAGATGCGATGCAAATGAGCCGGTTCCTCCCTCCCACCTCTGGGATTCCCAGAAGCAAGATGGGAACTGACCAGGGACATGCAGCTAGCTCCCATCCTGAAGGAGCTCTTGCAGCTGGGTGGGAAGCAGGGCTAATCCAGGAGGACAGCCTTGAGGAAGGAGCCAGGAGAGGGAGAGGGGCATGGTGATGTGGGGCAAATCTGGCAGCAAAGACACAGCTGGTAGCTCCTGAAACTCAGGGGTCTGTGCCAGTCAGGAAGGGAAGCTGGGCCCCTCCCTGGATCTGGAATAGGATGGGAAGCCCACTCCTGCCCAGGGACCCTGGGTCAGGACAGACAGCCCAGGCCCAGGGGTTTCTTCTTGGCTCGCATTCTCTCCCCCAGTCCCTCTTCTCTCTCTCTCTCTCGCACACTCACACACTTCCTCCTCTCTGCTCTAGGCAATAGCTTTCTCTTTAGGTAAGCTGCTGGTGGCAGTTAGGGTTACTACCATGGGTCAGCAGGGTTGTCCTCTCCCCACTCCACCCCTCCATCATCATTCTCCTTTATTGGCAGACTAACCTTTTACTCTGCACCCCCAAAGCTCCCTAGATCAGCCTGAAGACTCCATATCCGGTGCCCCTCCACCCACTGGAATGTGTGGGGGCTGGCGGAGGCATGGGATGGGGTGGGAGCCCAAGAGGGGGGGCCAGGACACCTGACAGGGGCTGAGATAGATGGGGCCTTTGTTTTCCTTTCCAGGGAATGAGAGGAGCTGTGGGCAGCCACACAAAACCCTTTCTAATCTGGCTTTGGCTGAGCTGAAAGTAGCTTTGGCTACTTTTTCTCTTTGGCCGATGGTGAAGGAAGACAAGGGGAGGCCTGGGCCGACCTTGTAAATGGTGGACTAGGCAGAGCCCAGGAGGCACCAATGTGGGAGGGTGGGGAGGGGGCGAGTGGGTTCTTTCTCTTCAGAGACAGTCAGGAGTGAGCAGAGCCGTGAACAGAGCAGTGAATGGAGCCGCTTGAAGGGAAGAAAGATCAGAGGCCCCAACCACAGCCTCTTTCCCTCATTTCCCCGCAGATGAGTCATGGGATGACCCTAGCCCTGGCCTAGCTCACTCCCATGAGTCATCCTCTGGCTGGCTGGCCGGCGCATCGCTCTACTTACTCTGGGTATAAGGCATCCTGCTGCGCCACGGGGCTACGTGACCATTGGCTGTGTACCTTCCTGGGTCCCTTGGGACCATGTTCTTTGCTCCTTTCCAAGTCTCTGGCTGTTCCTGGCATTCATTTAGGGTTGGGGCAGTGAACGGTCCCTGGAGACCAGGAAGGACTGGAAGAGATAGCCTGGCTCTGCCCTAACTCCTGGCATAGAGTCTGCATCTTCACCCCCCTGCCAGCTGTGCCACCCCTTTCCTGCCAGCTGCCACTCGGGCTTGCCAGGGCTGGGAGGTACAGAGGGAAGATGGTAAACTGTGGTGAAGCAGAGGGCTCGCCCTGCTGCCAGAGTGACAGCTGGAGCTGTAAGGGTGAAGGGAGGTGGGCAGATGGCATCAAGTGGGGACTGCCAGTAAGGGGAATGCCGGCAGCTCCTCCATCCGCTGCAGCTGCTCCTTCCTTGTCAAGGCTGGGAGAAGGTGTTGGGAGGGAGGGACTTTTTAACCCCTTCCAGAGCAGTCTGAGAGGAAGGCCTCACCAGGGTCTCCGCTCCAGCTGGGGTGTGTTTGTGTGTGGGAGGGGGCAGGGTGGAAATTGGTGTGGCTGGGGAGATGTCCCTACCCCACGTTGAGGTGATCCACCAGGGCTTCCGTCAGGCAGGTCGCGGCCGCGATGGCCTCTCGCCTCCTCTTCTCTGTGAGGAGGGAAAAAGGGATTGGAGCCGAGGCTGATGTTTAAAGGGGTGCAGCGAAAGGCTCCTCACTCCTTGGGTTAGCCTCTCAACCCATTTCGCAAAGACAGAGTGGAGAAGGAAATATTGCAACATAAAGCCCCTGTTGGAGGGAGGGCAGGACTACCTTTAGAGGGGACCTCTTGAACTCTCCACCTCGGAGGTGTCAGGGGGCGTCCCAACACCCTCCTTCATCAGGGGTGTTCCTCCCTACCGACAGAATGACAGGCGCCCTGGACCAATAGGCACAGCGGCCTACAGACACAGGGCGGGGCTAGGAGGCCGCCGCGTCGGGGATTCGCCGAGGGGGACCCGGAGAGTAGCCTAGGTCCGTTGGTAAGGGGACGGGATTTCCAAAAAGGCCGCCCCTCGGTTTCCTCTCCCTCGCCCTTCGCCGAATCTGGACGAGGTCCAGGCTCCAGGCTGAAGCTAGGCCACGGCCGGAGGGACACAGGCCGACGCGGTATACAGCTTACCCTGCAGCTCCTTGCGTTCATTCTGCTTGGCCTGGTGTTCCTTGAGCAGGCGGGACAGCATGGTGGCGTCCGGCTGGGGGGCAGGGCATGCCGGGTGCCCTCCACCACCGCGAGCTGGAATGCACCGTGGCGGCCGCGGCTCACGTGACCGCCCCCTCACGTGACGCAGAGCCCGCCCTCTTTTGGAGACCTGGGGTGATGGTAGTGAAAGGCTTAGCCCGGAAGGGCACTGCAGGGCTGGTGCTGCATCTGTACTCTTAGGTTTTGAGAGCTCACTTAATGGTGAGTGTGGGAAGCACTTTAGTGTTTAACGTCTCCATGTGACTGCTGGTCCCCGGGAGGGTCGGTGTCGCCTGGCTACCCGTGGCGGTTCCGTGCTGAGGTTCCCCGGAATCATTGAAATTCTTTTCCTTCTCTTCCCTTGGCTGTGCTGGCCGGGCCCCCTCCTGCCGGGAAGACCGCCTTTTTCTCTTTCCAGAGTCTTCTCGCCGTCCCCAGCGAGGTCCCTGAGTTCTAAGTGATCACTGTGGAGCAGCGTTTGAACCTTCTAGGGAGCTTGGCATCGTTGGCGGACTGTGTGCGGTGAATGCACAATTCGGTCCCTCTCCTTTTGTGGTCAGAGAATGCTGCACCCCTTTTAGTCTTAGCGGAATCCCAGTGCTGCTGCCAAAGTAAAATGTACATTATATAACACCACTCCCAGCTACAGAGGAATGTTTCCCGGCTGAACTCCAACAGGGAAAAGGGTAAACATTGCCATTGAAATGCCAGTGCTACACTAGCCCTTGTATCTTGCCCTGACAAGGCCCACACTCTGCATTTAAGTTTTCTCACTAGGATAACAAGGGGATTGGATCAAGTCGCCTGACTATTAGAATATCATAGACACATTTTTAAAAATGCTTATTTTCATCTGCTTCAAAACAGCGGTCTTTCATCTACTGCTTCACTCGCTATATGCCCACGGCAGCAGAGGCTGGGCCAGGTGCAAGTCAGCCTGTAGCTCTGCCATGTGAGAGGCAGAGATCTGAATACTTGAACCATCCTCTGCTCTCATTAGTTGCAAGCTGGACTGAAAATAAAGGTGTTGGTACTTAAACCAGAACTCCAAAATGAGATGTAGGAGTCTCCAGTGAGGCTTGACTTGCTGTTTCCCAATTCCCATCCCTCATGGGGGAGTTTTTCGGTTTGTTTGTTTTTGTTTTTAAGATTTATTCATTTTTATTGGAAAGTCAGATCAACAGAGAGGAGAGACAGAAAGATTTTCTGTCTGCTGGTTCACTCTCCAAGTGGCAGCAACAGCTGGAGTTGAACCAATCAAAAGTCAGGAGCCAGGAGTTTCTTCTGGGTCTTCCACGTGGGTGCAGGCTCCCAAGGCTTTGGGCCGTCCTCTACAGGCGCCAATAATGGGAGGCTGATGCATGCAGGTGAGCATTTAGCCAATGAGCCATCGCACCAGGCCCATGAGAGAGTTTTTTTAAAAATGTTTTGGCTATGTCTGACACGATAGCTCAACTGGCTGATCTTCTACCTGCAAGTGCTAGGATTCCATATGGGTGCTGGTTCATGTCCCGGCAACCCCACTTCCCATCCAGCTCCCTGCTTTTGGCCTGGGATTGCAATAGAGGATGTCCCAAGTCCTTGGAACCTTGCACCCACATGGAAGACCCAGCAGAAGCTCATGGCTCCTGATCAGCTCTGGATCAACTCCTGACAGCTGCAGCCATTGCCACCACTGGGAAACAAATCAGCAGATGAAAGATCTTTCTCGGGCCCAGCATGGTGGCCTAACGGCTAAAGTCCTTGGCCTTGAATGTGCCAGGATTCCATATGGATGCTGGTTCTAATCCTGGCAGCCCCACTTCCCATCCAGCTCCCTGCTTGTGGCCTGGGAAAGCAGTTGAGGACAGCCCAAAGTCTTAGGACCCTGTACCCACATGGGAGACCCAGAAGAGGCTCTGGTCTCCTTGCCTCAGGTTGGCATAGCTCTGACCATTGTGGCCACTTGGGGAGTGAATCAACAGACAGAAAATTTTCCTCTCTGTATATCTAACTTTCTAATAAAAATAAAATAAAAATTAAAAAAAGAAATTAAGGACAGTGTCAATCAGATTATTAAGAGGCTTAATGAACATTACAACTAGAACTGTTGGATACCGTGTATGTATATATCTAAGCATCTGTTTGCATAGCACAAGTACTTTGTCTCGCATTTGCTAAGTGCTTCCAATGAGTCAAGCCCCTTACTTGTATGACTTCATTTAACCCCTAGAGCAAGCTGGTGAGGTTTTGTTGTCATTTGCACTTGCAGAGGGAGAATCTGAGTAGTGAAGTAGAACTCCTGAGTGCTATAGATTGGATTCCACTCCGAGCTTTACAATGCCAGAGCCACAGGATGATCACTCTATCCTGCAGAAACTATGGGAGAGAGCTCAGGAAAGTGGTGGCACCAGCACTTTTCATAGGGTCCCCTTGTGCTGTCACCATGCTCCTGTCACCCATGGAGCATTAGCTGAAGGGAATCCGGGCAAGGAGGAGTGTTTGGGAAGAGGCTTGGCTCTCGGGAGGGTTGATCAATAGGAGCGGTAAGAGTGAGAGCATCACGGGGCAGCCCCGCCCGGTCCTCCCCCCTCTCTGGCTCCAGCTCCCAAAGCAGTGAGCCAGCAAAACAGAGGCTGACTGGGAGATGGCTGACAGCAGAATCACAGGGCCTGAGAGAGAAGGGCACAAGTTGGAAGGGGTACCAGGGAAAGAAGGCATGGGGAAGTGAAATGGGCAGGGGATTGGGGGGCGGGGCTCAGAGGGTAAGATTGAGTGCTAAGACTGGGCTGCCTCGGGGGAGAGAGGCCCATCTGGTAGCAGCACCCTCAGCCCCCTTGGCAAAAGTGCCAGGCATGTTCACGATCAGTACAGCAGGCCTGCCAGCATTCTGCAGATACCTCTCCCACCTGCCCTTTCCCCACCCGCTGGCTGCGTGTGCTCTACACAGGACCTGGGAACCTCATCTGGGCTGTCTTCTATTTGTTCTTTCTCCCTCCCCTTCCCTCCCTTTCTTCCTCCCTTCCTGTCTTCCTTCACCTCATTGTTTACTTTCCTCCTTAGCTGCATTGGATGTCATTGCCAAGAGGTGGATGATTCTTAACTTTTTTTTAAAAAAAGAATTATTTATTTATTTGAAAGGCAGAGTTAGACAGAGACAAAGACTTTTCATTCATTGATTCACTCCCCAAATGGCCACAATGGCCAAAGCTGGGCCACTCCAAACCAGGAGCTAGGAGCTTTTCCCAGGTCACCCATGTGGGTGTTGGGGGCCCAAAGCACTTAGGTTGTCTTTTGCTGCTTTCCCAGGTTTATTAACAGGGAGCTGGATTGGAAATGGGACAGCCAGAGCTCAAATTGTCAGCCTTAAGGGGTGTTTGTGTCTCAAGCAGTGGCTTTACCCACTAAGCCACAGTGCCAGCCCCTGATTCTTGAAATTGGATTTTTTTTCCTGCCTATCCCTCCTTGCAAGTTCGCACCCAGATCATTTTCCCTTAGGATGAAGGAATGCAACCTCATGCTCCTTTTATCCATTTATTTCCATATTCTTTTGAGGGCTCTTTCAAAGTTGGCTTTCATTAGCAAATTCCAAATGGACCTTGCAGCAGAAAGCTACTGAATGGCTAGGGGCCGGGTGGGGAGCGAGGGAGGGCTGCAGAATGAGTGAGTAGAGAAGGTTTTCCTCCTGGGAAATCTGGCTGTGCTTCAAGGAGTGGGGGCTGTTGGTGGTGTGGCCAAGTTCCAAATGTCGGCCTAAGGCCAGGGCTCGAAGAAAAGGGGCCCTCAAGGCGGCCTCAATGGCTCCCTGTGGCGAATGACCTCCCAGTCTTCTCCCAAAGATGTAAGACTTTCTTGCGCCCCAGAGAGCAGGGTAGTGCAGCCATTTCCCAGTGGCTCCCCATCAGTTATGTTTCTGTTCTTTCTCTCCTAGCCCTTCCTCTGATTTGAGCCTTGGCCAGGGCTGGAATCCGGAGGCTTGCTGGAGAATTTCAGCACTAAGAGGCGGGTAGGGTGGGAAAGTTTTCCTGGTGAGTGTTGGGAAGGGAAAGCCTGACCCTGCTCCAAGCTTGTGTGGCCAGAGGTGGAGAAGTTCATGCTGTGTGTGGGTTCTGGAAGGGTTTACAGGTCAGTGAGAGATAGCAGTTGGAAAACATGTGATGCATGGGGAGCTAAAGAGTGGGACTGTCAGCTGGAGGGGAAAAGAAGTGTTAGAGGCAGAAGGGACGACAGGAGTCACAGCTTCCATGCAGCCAGGAGCCAACATTTGTGCCAGGCCTGGACATTTCTCATGTTTAGCATTTCTTGGAATTCATTTGCAATTGTGACAGATGCAGAGAAAGTCCTGGGTACCCTGCCTTCACCTTCCCCCAGTGATGACAACTCTTGTAATTGTCACATAGTGCCAGAACAGGGAAGCTAACGTTGGCACAGTAATGTTGGCTAGCCTGGAGGCCTGCGGTTCTCGGGCATCTATCTGCGCATGTGTGTGTGAGGTGTGTGGTGTGGTGTCTCTGTGTGTGTATTGCCCTACAGAGTTGCCTCCCACATAAGCTTCGGATAAGCATCACCATAATGAAGATACCCGCTGGCCCGAGGGTCTCCTTCGCACTGTCTCTTTCTCTTTTTTTTTTTTAAAGATTTACTTATTTTTATTACAAAGTCAGATATACAGAAAGGAGGAGCGACAAAGAGGAAGACCTTTCGTCTGATGATTCACTCCCCAAGTGAGCGCAACGGCCGGTGCTGCGCCGATCTGAAGCCAGGAACCAGGAACCTCTTCCGGGTTTCCCACACAGGTGCAGGGTCCCAAGGCTTTGGGCCATCCTCGACTGCTTTCCCAGGCCACAAGCAGGGAGCTGGATGGGAAGTGGAGCTGCTGGGATTAGAACCGGCACCCATATGGGATCCCGGCGCATTCAAGGCGAGGACTTTAGCCGTTAGGCCACCGTGCCAGGCCCCCAGTTTTGACTTCATAAATTCTCCAAGTCTTGGCCTGAACATAAGATGTTCTCTGAAAGGTCAGTATTATTACTGTCATGCCCCTCTCCTGTCCCTGGATCCCTCTCGTGTCTTCTGTTCCCTCTCGCCCCACTCTGGCACTCTGGCTTCAGTTCTGCTTTGGGGAGAATGTGCTTGTCTAAATCTGCTCACTGGCCCAGTGCTCCTGTGCATTCCCTGCCCCCCTGTGGCCCACTATTTATAGCCAGGCTAATTTGGGTGGCCTCTGGCTTCTGCTCCTTCCTCCTGTGGCTGCTGAGGTGACTCCTCAAACATTTGGTCTGAGGAGGTCAGACTCAGGCTGGCATCTGATGTCAGCTTTGGATTTGTCTGGAGCTGATGGAGCATGCACACAGCAGCTGCAGGTGTAGGGGGTCAGTGGCTGGAGGTCAGGGTGGGGAGTCAGGAACCCCACTTCTCCCCTGATCCTAGGATTCTGCACGCTCCTCTGGGCACCTCTGGGGCTCTGAGACAGACATCTCTGGGAGACAGTGGAAGTAGAGGGCTGCTGTAGATTTCCTCCTTCTAGCATCTGTCTAGAGGTGTGCTGCTTCCTTGCCTCCCCGTGCCCTCTGCACCCGGGGTGGGGTTAGTGTGCACAGGTATAGCTTTACAGATATGGAGGACCCAACCTTCAAATGAACAACCACCCACCAGTGCAATGGACCCAGGGTGGACAGAGTGAGTACCTCACTCCCCATCCCCCCAAAGACACGTAACTCAACAAAGGAGCATGGGACAAGGGACTAGGCAGGAGGCTGACCTGATTATTCAAGAGAGGGAAGGGGAAGACGGTCATCAGAGTGTGTCAGCATCAGAGAGGCAGAGATGACATCAGAGACAGTGAGAAGTCTGAGAAAGGTTTCCAGTGTGACAGGGACCAGAGGGGGCAAGGGCAGGATTTGGGAGGAGACAAAATCAGAGAGCAGAGAGAGAGGGGAGGGGGAGGCAAGGTGGGGGAAGGTGATGGACAAACAGGTCCACACAGGACCAATAAGCAGTGAGGGAAAGACAGAGGGTGGGGGCGCGGAGCCAGAGAAGTTCCAGTTGTGCCAAATTGTTTCCTAGCTCTCCTCCTGGCCCATTTCTGGATTGCAGTTATAAATAGCAGAAAGTTGGAAAATGTCCCCCCTCCCCCTTTGCCTCTGTCCCAGCCTGGGGGAAGGGAGAGGAAGAGGGACAGGCCAGTGGGTCCCTGTGGAGATCTCTTCTGTGCCCCACCCGGATCCTGCCCCTCCTGCTGGGGCCCCTGGGGAGCCGCGGGCCTGGGAAGGGTCTGGTGGCTGCAGGCTCCAGGCCTGGCCCTTTGCCCCTTGGGCCTAGCTTCATTCCCTCCGCCCCCACAGCTGGAGTTCCCTTCTTTCCTTGGGAGTTTTTCTCCCTTCATTCGTCCCTTGCAGCCCAGACTCTGACCCCACTTTCTGTCTCTCATGTCCTACTCTCTTTTCCCCTTCTCTCTCCCCAGACTCCCTTAGTCTCCCGCTGTCTTCATCCTCTGTTCGCGCAAATTGAGACCCCAGGGGTGGCATGACCCTGTCATAGCCAGGCTGTGGCAGGGGGTGGGGGATGGGATGGGGGTGTAGTTTGATTCAAAGAACATATGAGGTGTGGATGGAGGGACCTGTGATGCCTGTGGCCCAACATGCTAATCCTTCATCCCGTATGTGGCACCAGCATCCCTGCTGTTCCACTTCCCATCCAGATTCCTTCTTGTGACCTGGGAAAGCAGAGGAGAATGGCCCAAGTCATTGTGCCCCTGCACCCACTGTGGGAGACCCAGAAGAGGTTCCTGGCTCCCAGCTTCAGATCAACTCAGCTCTGGCTGTTACAATCATTTGGGGAGTGACCCAGCAGATGGAAGACGAAGACCTTCACTGTCTTTCTTTCTCTCTGTAAATCTGCCTTTCAGATGAAATAAGTAAATCTTAAAAAAGAAGTAAATCTTAAAAGAAGTTGGTGGAAAAGAGAATAAAAAGATAAGTTCATTTGGTGAAATCTGTGACTATAAGGGGAGTTCAAAAATTCATGGCAATGTGTATCATAAAAAATAACTCTGCATGGATTTCAAAAATAACCTTGTCTTGTAACTCTCTTTCCCAAGAACTTTTCGAAGCGTCCTCGTGGATGGCCGGGACTGCTCTCGTTCATCCGCCTCCTTCTGCCTGGGCTGTTTCTCAGTCTCTCTCACTTCTCTCCTGGCTCCTTCTCCCTCTGTCCTCCTTTCTCCCGCCCCATTCCTAGGCGCCGCCTCCACCGCCAGGGGTAAGGGTGAGGGCTAGAGCGGGAGCGTGCATTGCACGAGAGGCGGGAGCTGGTGTTGGACTCCGGGGTAGTGGGGAGAAAGGCCAACCCTCACTCCACATCCTCCCGCCCTCCTCCGGGAGCCGCTGGCCTGGGCATCTCTCTGCTGCGCGCGCTCAGCTCTCCACCTGCTGCGGGAGCGAGGGGCGGGGTCTGGGCGGGGCCTGGGTGCCCTCCCCCGCACCCCTCAGGCGGGGAGGCTGAAGCAAGAGTGGACACTGGAGCTGCGGCTGCCGCATTTGCTCTAGCGGGTGCTGGGGCGCCCGAGGGCCGGGGTAGAAAGCCGTGGCGTGGTGAAAGGCTGGGAGACGCCCGAGGGACCAGCCAGACTCTGGAGACCAGAGAGGCGCCTGGCCTGCGGAGAGCAGGGGCTCGGGGCACGCGGGGGCACGTGGGAATTTCTTTGCACTTGCGGGCAGCGCGCCCTTGGCTGGGCTCATGGCCGGGATTTGGAGCCGCTATCCTTGGAGGGTCCCGGGGACTTGCTACTTTGTTGGCTCTTTGCTTCTGGGACTGCTCTTCCAACGGACTGTTGCCTTCAATCTGGATGTGATGGGCGCCCTGCGCAAGGAAGGCGAGCCCGACAGTCTGTTCGGCTTCTCCGTGGCCCTGCACCAACAACTGCAACCCCGACCCCAGAGTTGGTGAGTGAGTCGCCACACCAGCCCGCCTGTGCGGACCATCCTCTGCCCCCCCCCCCCCCACTCTTTCTCTCAGACATCCCACGTCCCAGCCCGCTTCCTCTATCCAGAGTGGGGAGCAGCCACGACTCCCAGACCCTGAGACCCAAGATCCATGGCCCCATGTCATCGTAGATGGGGAGCGGACCCAGAAGTGTCTGGCTAGCTGCAGAAGGTGGTTTGGTGCCAGAAGGTGTGAAAAGCACAGTCCCCAAAGTAGTCAAAGCATCAACCGTAGAGATCCCAGAAGGATGTTGGGGATGCTGACTGGTTTGGCTTGTTCCCTTCCTCCTCTATAGGAAATTAACAATGTGGGCATCTGAGCAGGAGGGAGAAATAGGGAGGAGTGAGAGCCAATAGGCAAATAGCAGTTATTTTTGTAAAGGATGTAGGACACCCCTCGACTCCCTGGGGTGATGGATGCTCCTGTGTGTGCAGCCAGCGTCAGTCATGCTTCCTGTATCCTTGGCTCTGGCTGCAGGTGTACAAAGAAGAGCAGGAAGGGAAGAGAGCTTCCCATCTCCTCCTGAGGGGGCTTTATGATCTGGGCCAGTGTCTAAGCCTCACTAAGTGTCCATTACTGGGATCAGTGTTGTCCACAGGGACTGCCCTCTCTTCCTCCTGTTGGCCTGGGGGCAGGAAGTGGGGGAAACAGCTCCTTCCTCCTTACCCACCCACCTGAGGTCAGGGGGATAACCCCCCTGGGAGCATCATCAGTACCCCCCCAGACTCTCTGGGAGGGAGGAGATGGAAAGCAACTGACTTTGTTGTCTCCTGGGTCCCACCTTCCCTCTGCTTCCTGCCTCTCTGTCTCTTGCCCTCCCCTTCTCCTTTCCTCCCTCCCTTATTCCCTCATCTGCCAGAGTTCCAGGACCGGAGGCCTTTTTAGGACATGCTGAACTCTCTGAGCTATTTCCAGGCAAATTCTAGGTTATTTTTAATAGCTTGGTCTCTTGTCATTCCCCCTCCTCTCTGAAGGTGGTCCCTGGTTCTGTCTCCCAGGGCCCAGCTGGGGGCATTTCCCAGGGTTCTGATGCCCAGCCCCACTTTGGCTCCATCAGGGGGAGTCCTGGCACTTGGTGGTAAGTGAGAGGCCAGGCCCTAGAATTTGAATTTCAGGGTGATGTTTTTTAGGACTGCTTCCTTCCCTCTTTCTTTGTTGATTTATTATTATTTTTAAAGATTTATTTATTTCTATTACAAAGTCAGATATACAGAGAGGAGGAGAGACAGAGAGAAAGATCCTCCGTCCGATGATTTACTCCCCAAGTGAGCGCAACGGCCGGTGCTGTGCCGATCCAAAGCCAGGAGCCAGGAACCTCCTCCAGGTCTCCCACACGGGTGCAGGATCCCAAAGCACTGGGCTGTCCTTGACTGCCTTCCCAGGCCACAAGCAGGGAGCTGGATGGGAAGTAGAGCTGCTAGGGACTAGAACCGCTCACATGGGTTCCCGGTGCATTCAAGGCGAGGACTTTAGCCGCTAGGCCATGCTGCCGGCCCTCTTGATTTATTTTTAAAATGTGTCTGAAAGATGGGATGATGGAGAGCGTGGTCATTTCCCAAATGGATCTAACAAGGCGAGGCAGCGGGGAGGGAGTAGGGCCCTGGTACTCTATCCAGAACTTTCACATGGGTAGCAAGGCCTAAGCCCTTGGGCCATCTTCTGCTGCTTTCCTGAGCACATTAGCAGGGAGACGGATTTGAAGTGAAGCAGCCAGGACTTGAACCTGGCACTTGTATGATGGTATGGCAGGCAGACCCAGTGCACCACAATGTCAACCCCTTTTTATGCTTTTGAGTGTAACCCCAAGATGAGGCTTTGAGACCCAGCTTGCTCCATGGTTTCGGCCTCATGGTCTTATTCTTCCTTTGATGGTAAAAAGGAGATAAATAGTAGTATGATCTAGCAGAGTTGTGGAAGGGGTAAGAGTTTTATTGTCCTGTGCATAGTGGGTCTGGTAGAAGCGTTATTGACCTTGTATTGTGATTCCCAAGGCTAGGGAATAGTGCAGCCACCCTGGCACACTTGCTTTGCTTTTCTCTCTGCAGTGGCTGTGGCTGTGGCTACTGTTTCGTGTGCAGGCCTGGGATGGTTGAACTCACAGGGCGGAAGCCAGGAGGGAGCATGTGGCCGGGGCAGAGGCTGTGTGCGGGGGTGCTTGTTCCGCAGAGGGATCCTCTATTTGCAGGGCAGGGGAGGGGCTGAGCACATCCACGCACTCTGGGTCTTTCCTCTCAACCTCCTTCCTGCTCTTGGCCTTCAGGGGAGGTGTGAGTAGAGGATCTCTAGCTGTCTTGAGGGCTTTGCTGTGTCCTGACCTGCTGGGGCACTGTGTGGACCCTGACGCTTCCCATGGGAGGAGCACAGAGATGAGTAAGCTGGCAGCAGCGGTCCTAGGCACAGAGGTGGTGAGGAAGAGTGGAGGTGGAGGGGAAGCTGTGGACTTGTCTGAAGGTCGGCATTCTTTCACCTGGGGTCTTGTCCCCCAGTTTCTGTTTCTGCTCAGGGTACCCCCCCACAACCTCGTGCCCCCTTTACTTTTCCATTCTCAGTACTCTGGAGCTGGCCCCGTCACTGGGGGGCGGGGGGTGGGCTGACAAGCAACCAGAGTTAGCCAAAGTGGATGGGCATTCCAGCCTGGAGGCTTAGCATCATCAGAAAGACAAGAACAGAATCCTTCCTTCTGTCATTGTGGAGGGCTTGTCTCATCTGGTGCCTGCGTGTGGCATGGAGAGTGACAAACGTGGGTCTAGCCTGGGACCTGCCCCATTGTGGGTGCTGGATAGATATTGCTTGCTTTTTTTCTCAGCAAGTAGCTGTTAAATGATGCTACATGGCTGTTCTTGTCCTTACCACTCTCTCCCTCTCCCATTCTCGCTCTTACTCACTGGCTGTGACACGGGGTGACAGCTGTTCAGAGGCGTTTGCGGGAAGGGAGAATGGCTCTGAGCCCTCCCTCCCCGCCAACACGCTGTGCCAAGTCAGCCCTGGCCCAGTGCCCCACAGATGCCTGCCTGCAATATTGCCTGGCATGGTCTTGGGCCTTGCCCCCCTTCTCCCCACAGGAGGATATCCGGAACTTGAGAGGGGAAGGGAGGCCTGCTGCCATTGTTGCAGGGAACCCACATGGCCAGCTGGGCGTCAGGTCACTCACCACCTCTTTGCGCCTGCTCCCTCTCCCCTCAGCCTGGGAGTTCAGCCTCAGGAGACCCAGGGAGGGCCTTGGCTGTGCTCACAGACCCTCATCCCGCCGAGAAAGTGTCTGAGGGGAGGCAGGAGGAGAAGGCAGCAGGGGAAGGGGATTTGGGAATTGGGGAGGAGGGTGGTGGCTGGAGGCAGAATGGGACACTGTTCCTGCCTCTGTACCAGCCGGGGTGACTGACAGAATCTAGACCTGCTGGGGCCGCCTGCCGGAGGGTGAGGGCCCTGCTGAGTTCACAGGAGGCAGAAGCAAGCGTGTCTGCAGTCTCTTGTCTGTAGTTGGTCCCAGAGGTCCCTGGACGTGCCAGTTTGGGCCCCCCTTACTTTTGCTCCCAGAATTCTTGGCATTTCTGGCAGGGTTTCAACCTGCCTGGTGCTGGGAAGGAGGGTAGAGCTTGGGGCCAGGGCCAAGCAGTTGGGTGGGTGGGGCCTGGTAAGGAACAGGTGCAGGGAACAGGCGGCAATGCTAGCTGGGCTGCTGGGTTGCTGTGGTTGTGCCCTTGTACGCATAGCTGCTGCGCATGTCGAAACCTTGTCCTGTGAGGTGCGTCGGTCTGTCATGCATGGATCACAGGGCTGGCTGCCTTAATGTTTCCTGCCAGGGTTAGAAGTTACTGCCTTTTGCATTCCTCTTGAGCCCTTCAACAAGGGATTGGGTCTAGGCAGCTCTGGGGAGGTTGGAACACTGGGACCTCTAACACCTGACCCCACCCTTTTATGTAGGCTGCTGGTGGGTGCCCCCCAGGCCCTGGCCCTCCCTGGGCAGCAGGCGAACCGCACCGGAGGCCTCTTTGCCTGCCCTCTGAGCCTGGAGGAAACAGACTGCTACCGAGTGGACATCGACCGTGGAGGTGCAAGAGGGAGCAGGGGAGCAGGGAGGAGAGGCCCTGGCCTCCTCTTCCTGTCTCTGACCCACTGTGTCCTGCCTCCAGCTGATGTGCGCAAGGAGAGCAAGGAGAACCAGTGGCTGGGAGTCAGCGTTCGGAGCCAGGGGCCTGGGGGCAAGATTGTCGTGAGTATGGTGAAGGGCGCTGAGTACAGGGGTGATGTGTGTGCATGTGTAGCGTATGTGTGTGTGCGCCATGTATATGTACCATGTATGTATCATGTGCATATGGGTGTACCACGTGTACACAGTACATGTATGCTGTTTGCATATACTGCACGTGTGTGTACAGCACATGCACTGTGGTGTGTGGTTTGCATGTGTGTACCAGGTGTGTATACCACATGTGCACAGTATATATAATACTGTGTGTTCGTGTATGTGTGTGTGAGCACAGGGTGTGATTCCTGGACCTTGGGAGAAATGAACAAAAGTGTAAGACATGGTTCCTTTCCTTCTAAGTTAAAAAACATCTAATCATCCATCCATACACAATTTATCTTAGTTATTTAAAAAATTTTCTTTATTTGAAAGGCAGAGTGACAGGGAGAGGGAGGGATAGATTTCCTATCCACTGGCCCACTCCCCAAATGTGTTACAATAGCTAAGGATGGGCCGGGCAGAAGCTGGGAGTCTGGAGCCAGCAACTCCTTCTGGGCCACCCACTTGGTGAGAGGAGCCAACCCAAGTCCTTCAGGCCATGATTTGCTGCCTCTCATGTGTGTTAGCAGGAGGCTGGGTAGATAGCAGAGTAGCTGAATCTTAATCAAGTGGGCTGTGGGTGTCCCAAGTGGTGGCTTAATACAATTTTTATTTATTTGAGAAGCAGATAGATGGATTGATAGCTAGACAGCATGCTCCTCTATTTGCAGGTCCACTCTCCAAATGCCCACCGCAGCTAGGGTTGGGCTGGGGCTGAAGCTGGAGGCTGGGAATGCCATGCAGGTCTCCCATGCGGGTAGTGGGATCTGCATGCTGGAGTCCTCATTGCTGCTGCCCAGGGTCTGTGTTAGCAGGAAGCCGGAGGCCAGTGTCAACCCAGGTCTTCCAATATGCCCAGGCATCTAAGTGCTAGACCATCTACTGCACCCCTGAGACCCTTTCAGACCCTTGGACATTGTCCTCTTTGCTGCAAAGACACAGGCCGGACTGGTGCCTGCAAGTATTCACGGAGACCTTCCTTCTCTTGTTTTTTGTGTCTGTCTCTCTCCCTGCGGGTCATTCAGCAATGTGCACAGCACACGGTAACCAGCACAAGGGTGGCTTGTGGTTACTGTGAAGTAAGGGGTGCAGCCATGGGTCTCTAAGTTCTGAGCAGTGGAGAGAGATGGTTCCTATCATTGGGGTGATTTGAGCCGGATGTTAGGAAATCAGGAATACCTGGAGAGTGCAGAAGGAAGTTCTGTATAGATAAGATGGTTGTGCTTACAAAGATCTTGTCGCAGGATCGTCGTATGATCAAGGAGCCACGTGTCCTGTGTGCTGGCTGGGTCATGTATCTGGATGCCCAGGCAGAATGTGGAACAAGGATGTCTCTTCCTGGGAGGGCAAGGAAGTAGGTAGAGAGGATCTTAGGTGGCTGGTGTTGCCAATCTAGGAGTTCATGTGCACACATACACACACTTGTGCCAGTGTCTATTGGATGTCTGCTTGTGGCCGCTGTGCCTCAGCCTGGTCTTTGGTCCACACTGGAAACCCTCTGCTGATCCCTGCTCTGCTCTCTCCTGCAGACCTGTGCACATCGATATGAATCAAGGCAGCGCGTGGACCAGATCCTGGAGACACGGGACGTGATTGGTCGCTGCTTTGTGCTAAGCCAGGACCTGGCCATTCGTGATGAGTTGGATGGTGGGGAGTGGAAATTCTGCGAGGGACGTCCCCAAGGCCACGAACAGTTTGGGTTCTGCCAGCAGGGCACAGCCGCTGCCTTCTCTCCTGACAGCCACTACCTCCTCTTTGGGGCACCGGGAACCTTTAACTGGAAGGGTGAGTGCTTCTCAAGGAGGGAAGGAAGGGACCAAGACCTTCTCTTACCCCAGGGGATGGCACAGGGGCAGTACCCGGCCAAGCATGACCACCAGTTTCTGGAACCTTGGGGCCCTGCCTTCCCCTGCACCTGCACCTTCACCCCACCTTCGTCTCCACCTCCATCTCCATGTTGCTTGTATACACACACACACACACACATGAACAGGGGCACCTCCTCTCCCTAGCATGTCCGGGCACCGCTCCACATGCTGGCAGGGGCCCCCCAATGCACAGTGGGGGCTTGCATGCTCCAGCACAGCACCCTCACCTCATCACTGCCATTCCCGTCTCTGCACGCTGCCGCTGGCTGAGCTGACACCCGGTGAGTGTGATGCTGGGTCTGCAGTGGGGATACAGGGGACCCCAGAAAGCATGGGCTTGGAGAGAGGGTGGAGGCAGGGCTGGCAAAAGCAAGGGGCTTCCCCCAGGTTCTCTGTGTTGGGCAGGAAGGGGTTGCCACTCTCTCCTGGCCGTGGACACTGACACAACTGTCCTTGCAGGCACGGCCAGGGTGCAGCTCTGTGTGCAGGGCTCGGCGGACCTGGCATACCTGGACGACGGGCCCTACGAGGCAGGGGGGGAGAAGGAGCAAGACCCCAGCCTCATCCCGGTCCCTGCCAACAGCTACTTTGGTAGGGCTCCCCTCCCTGGCCCAGAAGCTCTCTAACCTTCTACTCCTCTCTTCCTCCCTCTCCGTGCTCCCCTCCTGCTGTCTCTGTCTGGCTCGTTATCTCCCTGGTCTTGTCTCTTTTTTTACCTTGTCTTCTATGCCTCCCCTGCTGCCTGGTTCTGTCTCCTCCTCTGGGTGTTCCTTCCCTGCTGTCTCCTCCCCTTCACTCGCCCCCATAGGGTTGCTTTTTGTGACCAACATTGATAGCTCAGACCCTGACCAGCTGGTGTATAAAACGCTGGACGCTGCTGACCGGCTCGCAGGACCAGCCGGAGACTTGGCCCGGAATAGCTACTTAGGTTTGTAAGCTTGTCTTCCCAGGGAACATTGCTGCCTGCTCTGTCCCTCCCACAGCTCCCACACAAGTTGGGTCTAAATTACCTGAAAGAACTGGGCTTAGCTGCCAGGCCTTGAGTGAGGAGGCTTCCAGGATGATGGTGTCTGGGGTTAGCGGGGACATCTCTGTGGAGAAGGAGCCAGGTTGCAGGCTGAAGGGAGGGGAATGGTTGTTGCTGGGAGGCAGGTCCGCATCTCTTGGGGGGACTGGCTTTCTTGGGGGTGGGTGGAGGGATGCACCTGCTGGAGACAGGTCTTGCTTTGGGGTGGGGAGGAGTGCCTCTCACTGTTATCGCAGCCCTTTGCAGAGCTGGAAGAGCAAGCTCCAGCTGCCCCCTGCTGCCCTTGCCTCTGCCATCTATGCATCCATTTGTCAGGTGAAACCTGTCCCACAACCTGGCCCCACCAAGGTGGTAGGTGAAGACCAGCACCTCTGCTCCAGTTTCCTGGATGGGTGTGGGCGAGTGCTCAGCTCTGCCCTGCCACCTGGTGTCTCCATTGGTGCCTTTCTGTCTTATCACATTTTCTGGAGCCAAACTGTAGTCCCTGAGCCAAGCAGGTGTGGGAGGGCTGCCAGGCCCCTGAAGGGGGAGAAAACCTGGGCAGCCGTGACTTGGGAGACATTCAGACCTGTTGGGAGGGGACAGGAGTTGGTGGGAGGGGGCTGTGGCCCACCTTTGCCTTCTGAGCCTTGTGGGAAGCAAATGTGCAAGTGGCTCCAACTGCTACCTGCCCCTCACTGCCCTGCCTCGCCCCAGGTTTCTCCATTGACTCAGGGAAGGGGCTGATGCGTGCTGAGGAGCTGAGCTTTGTGGCAGGAGCCCCCCGTGCCAACCACAAGGGTGCCGTGGTCATCCTGCGCAAGGACAGTGCTAGTCGCTTGGTGCCTGAAGTCCTGCTGACAGGGGAACGCCTGACTTCTGGCTTTGGCTACTCACTGGCTGTGGCCGATCTCAACAGTGATGGGTAACTGTGGGTGAGGGCAGTGGAGCCCGGGTCGGGGCAAGGGAGGCTGGGCCCAGGGGTCAATGCATGGCCGCCGTTGGCCCCTCCTCTGCTGGAGTCCCTTTGCCAGGGTGGCTGGGCACTGACTGCTCTTCCTCTGTCTGTAGCTGGCCAGACCTGATAGTGGGTGCCCCCTACTTCTATGAGCGCCAAGAAGAGCTGGGAGGAGCTGTGTACGTGTACCTGAACCAGGGCGGTCACTGGGCTGATGTCCCCTCACTCCGACTCTGTGGCTCCCCTGACTCCATGTTCGGGATCAGCTTGGCTGTCCTTGGAGACCTGAACCAGGATGGCTTCCCAGGTGGGAAGGCTCCCTCCAGTGGGGGGCAGTGGGGCACAAGAGGGTGGGTACAGAAAAACCCCTCAGGGGTTTGGTGGGTCTTCTGTGGATTCAGGGAGCTTCCTGCTTTGTGACCTTGACCCTTCTGAGCTGAAGGCATCTGCATGCAGGGAGTGGCTGAGAGGAGTAAATATGGCTAGGGGCAGGTTGGTAACTGGGAGGCTGGTTGAGAACTGGGAGGCTGAGGGAAAATGGAGGTCTGGACCGTGTGCCCCCCATCCCCCAGCCAGTGTGACACTTACCTCCCCACCCCTACAGATATCGCCGTGGGTGCCCCCTTTGATGGTGCCGGCAAGGTCTTTATTTACCATGGGAGCAGCCTGGGGCTTGTGGTTAATGCTTCGCAGGTGAGGGCAGTGGTGGTGTGGGGGAGTGAGTGAAGGTGAGATAAGGGCTTGGGGTGGTCAGGGAGGCTGAGTCTGGGGGAAGGGAGGCGAGAGGAGGAGAAAAGAGGCTGACATCTGGTCTCCAGGTGCTGGAGGGCGAGGCTGTGGGCCTCCGGAGGAGCTTCGGCTACTCCCTGTCCGGCGGCCTGGATGTAGATGGGAACCACTACCCCGACCTCCTGGTGGGCTCCCTGGTCGACACTGCGGTGCTCTTCCGGTGAGCAGCACCTGCTCCCACCCTCCCTGCCCCATGCCCCCTGTGCCCACCTCCAGTGCCAAGTATGATGCTCAGGGGTTACGAGCTCACCCACACCCTTATGTTTCTGGCACCTTCAGGGCCAGACCTGTCCTGCATGTCTCCCATGAGGTCCTCATTGCCCCTGAAGCCATCGACCTGGAACAGCCCAACTGTGCCGGGGGCCAGTCTGTCTGGTGAGGATGGGCCCGTGGGGGCAGGGGCAGCGGAAGCCTGCAGGGTGCAGTTTCCCATGGTAGCTTTGCCTTTCTTGCCCTGCATGGGGGCTGGGCAGTGGAAGGGCTGGACCCTTGGGCCCCATGAGCCCGATTTGGCTCAGGAGCTCCCCTTGGTCCCTGCAGTGTGGAGCTGAGAATCTGTTTCAGCTACATGGCCGCCCCCGACAGCTACAGCCCTGCCGTAGGTGAGTGACACCTCCTTCCATCCACCCACCCACCCACCGGCCACGTGGTCAGCCTTCCAAGGAGGTGCGTCCAGGGGTCATTTCTGAACACAGCCAGAAGAACATCCTGGGGGTGGGATCAGCTAGAGCAGTTCCCCGCTCAGTGGCCCCTTCCTGTCCCCCATACACTGCACAGCCCTGGAGTACATGTTAGATGGTGACACGGACCGGAGGCTCCGTGGCCAGGTTCCTCGGGTGACCTTCCTGAACCGCAGCCCGGATGACCCCAAGCACCAGGCGTCAGGCACCGTGTGGCTGCGGCATCAACGGGACCGTGTCTGCAAAGACAACATGTTGCAGCTGCAGGTGGCCCTGGGGTGGGGAGCGGGGGAAAGTAGTCAGCACTGCCACAGGCGCTCACCTCCTCCATGCCTTCCTCCCCAGCATGTTCTCATGCCCTTCCACAAGCTAGACCTTGGAGAAGCCGCCTGCCCAGCTCCTTTCCTCCCCACTAATCACCCCTTTACATCTCCCTGGAGGTCCAGGTGGCTGGCTCAGTCATCTCCTCTCGTCCTGGAAGCCCTTGTCTGGGTTCCTGTCTGCCCCCTGCCCTCGCCCCAGCTCTCTCCCTCTCATGGCTCAGTTCTGTATCATTGCTCTCCTGAGTCTGTCCTGGATCTGGCTGAGGCTTTAGGGGCAAGGCTGGGGCCTAGAGATTGTTCCAGTGAAGAGCAACTCCTTTCCTGCAACCCCCAGGACAACGTCAAAGACAAACTTCGGGCCATTGTGGTGACCTTAGCCTACAGTCTCCAGACTCCGCGGCTGCGGCGGCAGGTTCCTGGTCGGGGGCTACCCCCAGTGGCACCCATCCTTAATGCCCACCAGCCCAGCACTCAGAGGTCAGAGGTGAGTGCCAGTTCTGTTTTTTTGCAAGAAGAGGAGCCTGGAAGGACCATGGTCATGGTCACTCCTTGCCTAGGGATGCCTATTAGTAGCTTGCACAGTTCTTTCACTCATTCCTTAACCCAGCTGCCATCTCCCCCCAAGCAGGCACCCAGGGACCCAGAATGTCAGGATTTTTTTTTGCCATTTTCAAATTAGCCTCTAGGGTCCTTAAGTCACCCTGATCCAGTTCATCTGGAAGGGGGAGGTGTGACTCTCAGGATCAGCCCAGCCATGGTGTCTTCCTTGTCTCTTCATGTTGGCAGCTGGCATGCAGTTTCATGTAGATGAGGCTAGGGGCACATGGCCTCCCTGGGGACCAGCCTGCTGGTCTGCACCATAGCCTGGTGATGCAGCTGTCATGTTACTGATGAGGGCCCAGCTCAGAGCAGTTAGGTAACGAGCCCTAAGTCACACAGCCGAGCAAACATCAAATCTGAGCGTGGGCTCTGACGTGCGGTGTATCCTGTAATGCTCTTACACAGTTTGCTGTGTACTGTGGGGACATGTGGGCCTCTTGGAGGGACCTTCTTGTCACGTCTGTCCCCAGATCAACTTCCTGAAGCAAGGCTGTGGTGAAGACAAGATCTGCCAGAGCAACCTGCAGCTGGTGCATGCCCGCTTCTGCGTCCGGGTCAGCGACACTGAGTGCCAGCCTCTGCCCATGTGAGTGGGTGGGGAGCAGCTGGGGGAGGGGGACCCTGCAGGAGGCCAGAGGGCTGGGGGCCAGCTCACCATTCAGAGGAGTGGGAGAAGGGAGTCAGGGTGTTTGTGGAGAGGGATAGTAACACGTCACAGGATACATTGTACTGGGGGTCCTCAGGAAGTCCAAGAAGTGTGTGTTATGAAAATCATGCACAGCTCTCAAGCTTTTTTGTGCTCAAATAAACTTTTCTCTCTCTCTTTTTAAGGTTTATTTATTTTTATTTGAAAGGCAGAGTTAGAAAGAGAGAGAGAAAGAAAAATCTTCCATCTGCTGATTCACTTCTCAAATGGCTAAAATGGCCAGAGCTGGACTAGTCTGGAGCTTCTTCCAGTTTTCTCACATGGCTGAAATCCTTGAGTCATCTTCCGCTGCTTTCCCAGGCCATAAGCAGGGAGCTAGACTGGCAGTGGAGCAGCTAGGACACCAACTGGTGCCCATATGGGATGCCAGCAATGCAACAAAAGCTTAATCTATTATACTAAGGTGCCAGCACCAGACTTGTCTTTTTAAAAAATCTTAAAATTTATCCAAGATGTGGTGGGACAGGGGGTAGGGTGAGGAGAAAGAGAGACAAGGGGCAGAGAGGGAGAGAGAGGGTACACCCATCCATTGGTTCACTCCCTAAATGTCCGAAACAGCTGGGTCTGGGCTGGGTGAGTGGGTGCTAAGAACTCAGTCCTGGTTTCTCACGTGGGTGGCAGGGGCCTCTTTACTTGAGCCCCACCACCGCCTCTCGGGGCGCATGTACATTAGCAGGAAGCTGGAGTTGGAGCTGGGTAGGTGATCCATGCGGTTTGATGAGGGATGCAGGGATCTGAACTGCTATGACAACCAGTGCATCAACATACCTCTCAATTCTATTAAAAGATTGGAAAGATTGGTTGGATTAAAAGGCAATGCATGTTTTCCATGAACTGGTTGAAGTTCCTGGCATGCTCTTTGGCCAGCTCTGTGTGGTAGGGTTCATGAGTTCTGGTTTGTAAGTTACTAGCTGAGGCTAAGTAAGGGGCAGAGTTGGGCTGAGAACTGAGGTCCCTCATCTTCTAGTCATCATGGAAATACCCAGGGCATGGGCTGGATTTGGGAGACTTGGGGTGGAGAGAGCCTGGGGAGGAAACCTCATGCCCTGGGCAGGTGACTGTGAGGGGGCGAGATGGGAAGGATTTGCCAGCCCAGAGTGAGTGGGACCCTGACCCTTTAGGGATGCCGATGGAACGACAGCCCTGTTTGCCATGAGCGGGCAGCCGGTCATTGGCCTGGAGCTCACGGTCACCAACCTGCCCTCGGACCCAGCCCAGCCCCAGGCTGATGGTGACGATGCCCATGAAGCCCAGCTCCTGGTCACCCTCCCTGCGTCTCTGCGCTACTCGGGAGTCCGTGCCCATGATCCTGTGGTAAGTCTCCAGGGTAGGGTAGGGTGGGGTCCCCAGGGACCCTAAACTGACTCCTTCTCTTCTTTGCAGGAGAAGCCACTCTGTCTGTCCAATGAGAATGCGTCCCATGTTGAGTGCGAGCTGGGGAATCCCATGAAGAGAGGGGCTCAGGTTGGCATGCTTGCCCTCCCGTTCTTGGAGTGGCTGCCCCTTGAACCCTCAGCTCTCCCCTGACCCTTACTTCATTCCACCCCCTGGACAGGTCACTTTCTACCTTATCCTCAGCACCTCAGCCATCACGATTGAGACCACGGAGCTGGAGGTGGAGCTGCTGTTGGCCACGTAAGCCCGGTGGTGCCTTGTCGGGGGAGGCTGGGGCTGCTGGAGTGGATTCACCGACCTCTGGTGGTGTCGGTGTGTGTCTGTCTCACACCAGGATCAGCAAGCAGGAGCTACACCCCACGTTTGCTCGAGCTCGTGTCTTCATTGAGCTGCCGCTGTCCATTGCAGGGTAAGTTGTGCCCCAAAGTGGCCGCCTCTGCTGCAGAGCGGGCGGGCAGGGGGGTGAATATTGCCACTCCTAAACCCTGGTTGGTTCTGCATCACGCTTGCCCTCCCAACGCTTCTTCAGGCCAAATCCCGGGCCTCCTCAGCCCCTGTTTTGATCCCCTCTATACCAGGGCGGCCATTCCCCAGCAACTCTTTTTCTCTGGTGTGGTGAGGGGTGAAAGTGCCATGCGGTTTGAACAGGATGTGGGGAGTGAGGTCAAGTATGAGGTCACGGTGAGCATCCTGGTGTGTGGTTTCTCCATGGTCCCCCATCCCACAGAGGAGAGGCTGAGACATGTCCCATGGGCTCAGTTTCCGGGGAGGCGGGGGAAGGGGAGGACTCTCCTATGTAGTTCAGCAAGTTCAAGGCCTCTGTCGTGCATGTGGACTTGGGCTATAGGCAGATACTGGGGCCATAGTCAACACTTTCCTGGTTATTTTTTAGTGGGCTGGGAGAGCCTAGGGGAGAGTCTGCTTGGGACCTCAGCCAGAGCGTGGGCATGTGGGGCAGGGCTGAGGCTTCTTTCTGGAACTCTGCCTTTGCTTGGCTGGTGCCTCCTCATACACATGGCACCACAGTGGTTTTACTGAATTTGGAGGTAGGAGGGTAGAGGCAGAGAGAATGGCAGCAGATGGAACCTAGACCTCTGAGTCTTGGTTGAAACTGCTTCCTGAGGTTCTTGCTTAGCGCCTGTTCCCTTCCAGCTCTGGGCATTCAGCGTCTGCTCAGAAAGCAAGCTCCATCCATCCTGTCTGGTACCCACAGGTCTCCAACCAAGGCCAGTCACTCAACACGCTGGGCTCTGCCTTCCTCAACATTATGTGGCCTCATGAGATCGCCAATGGGAAGTGGCTGCTGTACCCCATGAGAGTGGAGCTCGAGGGCGGGCAGGGGCCTGGGCAGAAAGGGCTTTGTTCTCCCAGGCCCAACATCCTTGGCCTGGTGAGGCTCAGGCAAGGTCAAGGGGAGGCGGGGGGAGTGTGCACAGATGGCAGGCTGGGAGGAAGGTGATGGGAGGAGATGTGGTCTTGATTGCTGTGTTTGCAGGACAGTCATTGGGCACCCCCTCCCTATCTCCAGAAAGCAGGTGGCAGGGGTAGGAGGCGGCGGGAGTTGGAGCCGCCAGTGCCACAGGAGCCTCAAGAGCAGCTAGAGCCCAGCACATCCTGGTGGCCAGTGGCTTCCCTAGAGAAGAAGAAAAACATCACTCTGGTGAGGACGGGGTGAGGGGTACCTCAGGAATGGTGGTGCATGGTGTGCTGGAGGATGCCATGGGTCTCGGAGCTCCAGGGTGCTCAGCGTCCAAGGAGGGGACCCTCAACACCTGTGGTGGGTATGGGGCACTAGGAATGATGCCTGTGCCCCAGGTTAGAATACATGGGTGCCAGGCCTTGCTGGGAGACAGTGGGTAATGGCTTCAGTGATTGGGACCCTCTTGCCCTATGGGACATCTGCTGAGTTCCTTGCTCTTGACTGGACTTGACCTAGTCCTGGCTGTTATGTCATTTGAGGGAGAGGGCTGACAGAGGAGTGCTGTCTCTCAGGAGAAAATTAGATGAATAAGGGCATGTGATTAGAGCCCTAAAAAAAAAAAAGCCATGGGATGGTCAGTTATCTGGGTAATTGGACAGTGCATGAACTCAAAACCTGTGGAGGGGCAAAACCTGTGGAAGGAGCCTGCCAGTATGGCGAGAGAAGCCCTCCCCAGTGTGTTTCGTCCAGATGCAAAAGTCGGCTGACCAGCCACCTTCTCCCCATATTTGTTTGTTTATTTATTTTAAACTTTATTTTATTTTTACTGCAAAGTCAGATCTACAGAGAGGAGGAGATACAGAGAGAAAGATCTTCTGTCTGTTGATTCATTCTCCAACTGGCTGCAAAGGTTGGAGCTGAGCCAACAGAAGCCAGGAGTTTCTTCTGGGTCTCCCACACAGATGCAGGGTCCTAAGGTTTTGGGCCATCCTTGACTGCTTTCCCAGGCCACAGGCAGGGAGCGGGATGGGAAGTGGAGCTGCTAGGATTAGAACTAGCACCCGTATGGCATCCTGGCATGTGCAAGGCCAAGGACTTTAGCCGCTAGGCTACTGTACTGGGCCCTATTTATTTTTTAAGGGTAGATTTATTTTATTTTTGATGATGTTTACATAGTTGAGACAGATGCACACCCATGTGGACCACTGATCGGGGTGTCTCCCCATATTTCTATAAAACATTATGATTTATGGGGATGTACTAGCCAACTGTGGATCTGTTTGTTGTTCTTCTGAACGCTTTTAGAACAAATAAGTCAGTTTGTGCAGGGCTAGGTGTTTGATTTCTAAGATGTCCAAAGCATGAAGCTTTAAAATCGTGATGTGTTACATGTGGTTCACGAAGTCTGTCCTCTTTGAGCAGTTCTGCAACTTTCGTTTCTATTTGTTTTATTTGACTTTGTTGTTGTTTTAAGAGATTTGTTTGTTTATTTGAAAGATTTACATTGGGGGGGCACAGAGGGAGAGAGATCTTCCATTCCTGGTTTACTCCCTCATGGCCGCAATGGCTGGAGCTGAGCCAGGAACCAGGAGTTTCTTCTGAGTCTCGCACTTGGGTGGAGGGGCTGAAGTATTTGGGTCCTCTTCTGCTTTCACAGCAGGGAGTTGGATCAGAAGTAGAGCAGCCAGGACTTGGTGCCCGTATGGGATGCTGGCGCTGCAGGTGGCAGCTTTACCTGATATGCCGCAGTGCTAACCCCCTTGTTCTTTTCTTTCCCTTCCCTGCCCTGCCCTTTTAACGTTTCTTTCTTTAAAGGTTATTTATTTGAAAGCAAGAGAGAAAGGAAGAAAGAAAGAAAAACAAGGAAAGGAAATATTCCATCTGTTGGTTCACTACCCAAATGATTGGAAAGGTCAGGACGGGCCAGGTTGAAGCCAGGAACCAGGAACTCCATCTCGGTTTCCCACATGGCTGAAAGGGCACCAAGTACTTCTGCCATTATCTGATGCTTTCCCGTGCCATTAGCAGGGAGCTGGATCAGAAGTGAAGTAGGTGAGACTCATGGAATGCTAGTGTTGCATTCTATAACTTAATCCGCTGCACCTCCAGGCCAGCTCTAGAGAAGCTTCTATTTTTTTTTAATAAGATGTATTTATTTATTTGAAAGGCCCACATTATTCCTACTAGACCCACTCCCAGCTCTAGATCTTACACCTGCCAGAGGATACTGCAGTCTAGCCTGCCACGATTTGCACATAGTCCCAGCACTGCCAGCAGGTAACATCAGCCTAGCCTAGCTTGAATTAACCCCCAGATTGGCCCACCTCTAGTGCCAGCTCTCACATTCACCAGTAGAAGCAGGGGCCCAGCAAGGAAGTCGCCAAAGTTCCAATACCAGGCCCACTCCAAATTCCAGGTCTTGTACATGCTAGTGGGTGCTGCAGCCCAGTCTGATATGGCCTGCCCCCAGTCTTGGCATTCTCTAGCAGGTGCAACAGTCTGACTCAGCTCAGCCCACCCCAAGGCCCAGCCCTCTCTGTTGGGTGCAGCAGTCTAATCTAGCCTGGCCTACTCCCAACCCTCATGTGAACTGGCAAGTGTTGCTGCTCAACTTGGCCTGTGTCCTATTCTGGCTGTCAGTCATGCCAGTGTGTGCTATGGACTGGCCTGGCCTGGCCTGGCCCAACCCCAGACCTGGCTCACACATATGCTGATGGGTGCTGCAATCCAGCCTGGCCTGTTCTGTTCCCAGCTGCAGTTCTTGTGTCACCAGCTGGAGCTGTAGCCTAGCAGGAGAGTTCAAAAAATTGTCTAAACAGGCCTGCTCTCAGCCGCAGATACTTTGTGTGCTATTGGTGTGTGATACTGGTGGGTGCTATTGCTGGTGGTTGGCCCTCAGTGCTGGCACTCATCTGTGGGTACAGTGGCCTAGCCCTATTCCAATTCTTGCCAATGGGTGTTAATAGCCTAGCCCAGCCTGACCCCAGACCGACTTTCATGTGAACCAGCGGGTGCCACGATCTAGCCTGGTCTGTCCCCACACCCATCCTGGTTCTCATGAGTGCCAGTGGGTGCTGGGCTACTTCCTACTTGTACAAGCTCAGCTTTTGGATTCCATGTATGAGTGAGAGCATGTGGTATGTGTCTGTCTGTGCCTGGCTTATTTCATTTAAAGACATGTCTGAAATAGATTCTTTTTATATAAAATTACGGCAGATGACTGAGGATTCTTGAGTTGCTCAAAAGGGGCAAAATAAAAGATGACTCAAAGAATTTAAGCACTTTCTATATATGGATTATGATGTGATGAATATAACAGGAAGTGCTGGCAGCTGGGTCATTGGGTGGTGGCAGAGCCAAATGTCTTTAGGTCAGGCAAAAGGAGCAGGGGTGAGGCCCTTGGCTGTCCCCTGGAAGCTTGTGGGACAGCCTCCTGAGCTCTGTACAGGGGTGTAGCTTTGATGACCGTAGCCTGAGTTTAAATAGCTGTTGCAGTGCTGACTGGCTTTGCTTGCTCTGTGACCTGAGGTAGGTCACCTGACCTCCCACACGCTGAGTTTCCTCCCTTGAGCAGTGCGGATGGTAACAGCAAGCACCTTTCAGGACTGTTGTGAAGCTTACATGAGAGAAGTCTTTGGCATGCAGCAGGTGCCCAGTCCATTAGGTGGTCATTGGAGGACACAGGCGTCGATCGGGGATGTTACTCTGCTGCTACGGTCAAAGGAGAGGTCCTCCAGGACCTCCATGCATTTTAAACTCAGATCAGGTTTGGGGTAAGTAGCTGCTTTGGATCTAAAGAGTAGTTTGGGAGAGCTTCATGGAGGATGGAGTTTGAAGTTGGGTTAAAAAAAAAAAGGTGGTGGAGGGATCAGCATTGTGGTGTATCAAGTAAAACCATTGTCAACGTGGGCCTGGTGCAGTGCCTCAATTGACTAATTCTCCCATTTCAAGCACCTGGATCCCATAAGGCTACCAGTTTGTGTCCCAGCTGCTCCACTTCCCTTCCGGTTTCTGCTTGAATCCTGGGAAAGCAGAAGAGGATGTCACAAAGCCTCGGGACCTTGTGCCTGTGTGGGAGATCCAGGAGGGGCTCTTAGTTTCAGATCGGGTCAGTTCCAGCCATTGTGACCGCTTAGGGAGTGAACCAGTGGATGGAAGATCTTTGTCTCTCCTTCTCTCTGTAAATCTGCTTTTTCTATTTTATTTTATTTATTTTTTAAGGTTTATTTATTTATTTTTATTACAAAGTCAGATATACAGAGAGGAAGAGAGACAGAGAGGAAGATCTTCTGTCCGATGATCTGCTCCCCAAGTGAGTGCAACGGCCGGTGCACCGCCGATCTGAAGCCAGAAACCAGGAACCTCTTCCGGGTCTCCCACACGGGTGCAGGATCCCAAAGCTTTGGCCCATCCTCCACTGCTTTCCCAGGCCACAAGCAGGGAGCGGGATGGGAAGTGGAGCCACCAGGATTAGAACCGGCACCCATTTGGAATCCTGGCGCGTTCAAGGCGAGGACTTTAGCCGCTAAGCCATGCCGCTGGGCTCTAAATCTGCTTTTTCAAAAAAAAAAAAAAAAAGTGAATCTACCCCTCCCAGATAAAGCAAACACTGCCTGCAGGACTAGCATCTCCTATGGGCTCCGCTTCCAGTCCCAGCTGCTCTGCTGCTCATCCAGCTCCCTGCTGATGCATTGGGGAAGTTGGCAGACAATGGCCTAAGTGTTTGGAACCCTGCACTTTCGTGGAGATCTGTAAGAAGCTCCTGGCTTTAGCCTGGCTCAGCCATCTGGGGGAGTATATCAGCAGATGAAAAACTCTCTCTGCCTCTCTAAATGTAACTTTCAAATTAATAAATAAATCTTAAAGAAGTTGGGAGCCTCATGGTAGGCTCAGTGTGGGGGGTGTTGCAGTAACCTGCTCAGAGCCCTGTCTGTCCCCAGGACTGTGCCCGGGGCACGGCCAACTGCCTGGTGTTCAGGTGCCCACTCTACAGCTTTGACCGAGCTGCTGTGCTGCATGTCTGGGGCCGCCTGTGGAACAGCACCTTTCTGGAGGTGAGAGCCTCTAGGGGGAACCCGGGCTGGCTGGCTCCCTCCCCCGAAACCGAACCTCTGTAGGGCTCATTCCTCCCAGAGGCAGCATTTTCCTAACCCAAGCCATGACGGAAGCATTCTCTGTATTGGACACAATTCCCTTTACAATTTCTGGAACTGGGAGCGGCAGGAGGGGGCTGTGGCTCTTAGGAGCAGGGATCTCCTTTTTGCCGTATTAGGAGTACTCAGCTGTGAAGTCCTTGGAAGTGATTGTCCGTGCCAACATCACAGTCAAGTCCTCTATCAAGAACCTGTTGCTCAGAGATGCATCCACAGTGGTGAGTTGGTGCTGCAGGGCTGGGGTGGGTGTGTGTAGGGGGCAGTGCTCACTTTTCCCCCACCCCCTCCTGCTCTTGCCCCATTAACCCCTTGCTCCCTAGATCCCAGTGATGGTCTATTTGGATCCTGTGGCCGTGGTGGCAGAAGGAGTTCCCTGGTGGGTCATTCTGCTGGCTGTGCTGGCCGGGCTTCTGGTGCTGGCGCTGCTGGTTCTGCTCCTGTGGAAGGTGAGGCTTGGGGAGAGGTGGGGCTGCAGATTTCTCTCCCCAGGTACCTGCGAGTAGTAGGAGCTCTATCTAGATGCCAAATGCAGATCTTGAATTTTATGATCCAGTCGGGGCAGGGAGCCTTGTAATGCAGGACCAGGCAGAGGTGTGGAGCTGAGACAGTGCAGTGGGGTTCAGCAGAAGGTAGGCTTGTGAGGATGTGGCCCTGGGTGGAGCACCAGGGGAGTTGGGGCAGAACCTCTGGAGGTGGGGAGCTGGGTGCTGTGGGGCCTCCACACATTTCAGAAGGACCATGGAGATGCAGTCAGGGAGGCAGGAAAGTAAGGCCTGATACGACCAAAGGAGGACGGTGTAGACTGGAAGGGAAACCATGGCCGTCAAGGTCAGCCAGTGTGGACAGCTGTCTCCGGGACTGGCCACGTGGAGCTCCACTTGAGCACACAGCTGCAGACAGAACCACATGGGCATCTGGGGCTCAACATAGCATGCACACACGTGCACACACATGTCAGTGCAGGGAACCTTGTCCCTCAGCTGGACCCATCCTTGAGGACCTGCTGCCTCTGGGACTGCGAATGGCACCATGCATGTCCTTGGGGCTCTGTGGAGAACTCTTCCAACCTGCTCCTGGAGTCCCATCAGACTGAGCACAGCCTCGCGTGCATCCAGTCACAGTCCAGTCCAGCCAGTCTGAGCAGTGGTGATGGGGTGGCTGACCCCTTCATGTCGCCAGGGTGCCTGTTCCTTGCCCCCTTCCCACACCCTGGCCTGGAGACAGAGCAGAGGCAGGGCTACCATCCTCCCTCCATCTTCCCATTCTCTGCCTCTTCTGCCCCTCCCCCTCCCACCTCCCAGTGTGGCTTCTTCCGGCGCAGCAGCCAGAGCTCATCTTTCCCCACCAACTATTACCGGGCCCATCTAGCCATGCAGCCCTCGGCCATGGAAGCTGGGGGGCCAGGGACTGTGGGGTAACTGTGGAACGTGTGCATTGTGTGTGTGCAAGCATGTGTCCATGTGTGTGTAGTGTGTACATGTGTGAATGTAAGGAGACTCTAGCACTTAGGCATCTGGCATGTGTGGGGCAGAGATGGTTGCATGGAAGGGGATGTGAGTGCTAGGAGACATGCTGAGGGCAGTCAGAGTGGTGAGTACGCCTAGCCTGGTGCATGCACGGCATGTGGGTTCGGGGTGTGAGGGTGTGCAGGGGCCCCATGCATGTCTTCTAAGCAGTTCAAGCATGTAGGAGTCTGGGGCACTTTTCAGTGTGAGTATAAAAAGGTGCATCATCATGGCCAATGTGTGAGGGCTGGTGCTGGGGATGGAGGAGGGAGGGACTAGGTTACCATAGTCCATGGATGCCAGGGCCTGCCCAGTGTGTGGCAGCACGTGGTGAATGTGAGCGAGGCAGTTCCTCTCCAGTTCTTGCTTAGGTGCTGGGAGGCCGTGTTGAGTCTTCTGGCCCACATGGGTGGAAACCTTGCAAGTCCAAGGTTCTGGGACTCTTCAGGGCCTTTGTTCCTGCCCCTTGGGCCCTTCTGGGTTTGTGGGAGGTGAGAACCTGGGGCCTTAGCCCTGAGGGTGGTCCTTGGGGGCTGCCACTGCCTTGGAAGCTGGCCCACTGGTTACCTGTTTGTCTCAGGGATGACGGATGGGGAGGGCAAGGATCCGGCCCATGCTGGCTCCTGACAACTGGCCATGGCTGCTGTTCATCCTTACAGATGGGATTCTTCAAGCGCGCAAAGCACCCCGAAGCTGCCGTGCCCCAGTACCACGCGGTGAAGATCCCTCGGGAAGACCGGCAGCAGTTCAAGGAGGAGAAAACAGGCACCATCCTGCGGAACAACTGGGGCAGCCCCCGGCGGGAGGGCCCTGACGCCCACCCTATCTTGGCCGCTGACGGGCATGCTGAGCTGGGCCCCAATGCTCCTTCGGCACCAGCCACTGCCTAGTGTCCCCTGGCCTGGCCTGGCCTCTGGGTGTCCCTCTACTCCTCCCCCATCCCCACTACCACTCCCGCTGCCCAGAAGTGGCTCCTTGAGGGCAAAGAGCTCATGGGGTTGCTGGTGCCACACCAAGAGCTGGCAAGGGGAATGAACCCTCCCCCCCAACATTTTCCCTTTAGTGTGCTGTGAGATGAGAGCAGAGGGGGTCCATCAGGGATTGGACTCTGGGCAGGGTAACCAGGGCTGGCATGTCCCCATGCAAAGGTGGGAGAAGGGAGCCCACTGTGAATACCCCAGGTCCTGGCTCCCCAGAAGTGCCTTAGCCTGGAGGGTGGGGAGGGCCTTGTGTGACTAACTCAGGAGCTCTTCCCTTCTGCTCTCCCTCCCTCATTCCTTTCCCCCTCTCTTATTCCCTCCATTGATTGTAGTTTGTGCATTAGTCTAGTGGGTTTTGTCTATTTATTAAAAAAAATATTTGAAGACAAAATTTCTGGCTTCTTTACTGGAGTTTGGGTACCCTCATCCCAGGGTCTTGGATTCTGGCCCCTCTGCAGTGGGTAGGGGGTGGGGGCAAAGGTGAAGGTGGTAGGGAGAGGGAGGAGGGTCAGATGACCTAGCAGGAGTATAGGGACCATGGCTGAGGGGTCTGGGAGGCTAATGGTCACATCCTCTGAGGCAGGGCGTTGGGGACAAGGGACAGGGGCAGGGAGCTGTTGGATGGGGGTGTGGCTCTGAGAGAGTGGGAGATCAGTGATGGACACGACAGGGGGAAGCCGATCTGCTCGCCATGGGGGTGGGGTGGGGGGAAGAGGAGCGAGGGTGTTTGTGGGAAGGTCTCATTCTTGCACCAGGTCCCTTTCATAGAAGGTGGCTTGGGCTGGGGATGGGCGAGGTGCTTCGGGGGAAGCTTATTTCACAGCCTTGCCCATGATGTGGGGGCCCACGGGCAGCCACTTTATGGGAGGTGGTTGTCGCTCCATTTGGACGTTGGAGAACTGGGCCTTCTCCAGGTCCTTCCAGGTCTCTCGGGTGAGCAAGCAGCCGTCTCCGATGTGCTTCCAGGTGGGCTCCAGGACCTGCTGCCACATCAGGGCCCAGCTGCCCCGCGGCTCAGCCACGTGTTCCAAGAAAAACAGCACGCCACCCTGCGAGGGGCAACAGGGTGGGTGTCACTTGCCTGCTGTGCTCACAGCCCCTTCCCGCCACCCCCTCAGGTCCAGCCAGGTGAACCTGAACCCCAGGCTGAAGCCAGGGGTGTTCTCTGTTCAGAACCACCCAGAACCTGATGCAGATGATGGGGAGAGAGTGAAAGCTTTGTACAGTGGCTGGAAGGGCTGCACTGGGAGAGGAAAAACAGAAGGAGTTGGCTCACCCCCTACCTGCCACCCAGATCTCTACTGGGACACGCACTCTGAACTCTCCTGAGACGCAGATAAGTACAAAGGTATTTCAAAATGTTTGTGGAGCAATGAAATACAAAAATAAGGAATTTAGCTTAACAGCTAAGATGCCTATACCCTACATGGGAGGGCCTGAATTCAGTTCCTGCTCCCTCCAGTCTCCTGGCTCCAGCTTCCTGCCAAGGCACATGTGGGAGACATTGATGGTGGTTCCAGGAATGGGGCTCCTGACACCCATATGAGACACTCACATTGAATCCATGGCTGTTCTGGGCATTTGAAAAAAATGAGTCAGCAGATAGGAGCTCTGTCTTCCTCTTAAATTTTGAAAAAATCTGTTTTGGTGCAAAGAAATCTGAAATATTTATGTAGTTCTTTTCATAACGTATTTTTCACGAAGGTTTTAAAGACTGTATATAAAGATTTCAAAAATCTTTTAAGATTTATTAATTTTTATTTGGAAGCTGGAGTTAGAGAAAGAGATCTTCTATCTGCTGGTTCACTCCCCAAATGGCTGCAATGGCCAGAGCTGGGCTGGGCTGAAGCCAGGCGCTTCTCTTTGGTGCCTCATATGGAGGCCAGGGACCTGGGCCATCCGCTGCTACTTTCCCAGGGAACTAATACACCAGCGGCTTCCTGGACATCTCCCTGAGCATCTCAGGGAGACCTCAGGCCTGACCCTGACCAGCTCTGGCTGCCTGTATCTCTGATGTCGGTCTGACCTTCAGGCCCAACTCCTCCTTGCCCAGCTGGTGTCTCTGCTCTGGCTCTCAGCAGCCCTTCTCATCTCAGAAGGCCGCAAGAAGGAGGTTTCTCTTCCTCCAGCAGTGGTGCTTCCTTCCATTCTCACTTCAGTCGTTCATGCTGCAGCCTCGAAAACTGTCCTGAACTTTGTACACTCAGGCCAAGCATCTCAACCTTGACTCCCCATGATAGCGCTACCTGGGACATGTTCTTTTCCCACCCTCTCTGCCCACTGCTTACTCCTCCATATCTCAATTTTTAAATTTTATTTAAGGCAGGGAGAGAGAGTGCGTGAGAGCTTGTATCTGACAGTTTACTTCCCAAATGCCCATGGTAGCCAGGGCTGGGCTGGCGCTAAATGCCAGAGGCTAGGAAGTCAACCCAGGCTTCCCGTGTGGGGGGTAGAAACCCAATTATTTGAGCTATCATTGCTGCCTCCCCAATCTGCCTCAGCTAGAGTAGAGTCAGGGGTAGACACTGAACCTGGGCTCTCTGGATGGAGGATGTGTGTCGTAAGTGCTTGGTCAAATGCCTGCCCCTCGATCCCCATTTCAACATTACTTCCTTAAGTGTTGTTGATGACCCACCCCCACCCCCATCTACCTGTCACAGGTCCTAATGCGCCCCTTCCTAGTCCTATCTTTCCCTCACTGGTAGATGGAGGTAGACAGGGCATCTTAGGTGCTGGGCATCAGGTTCCCTGTTCTGGGGGCCCCCTATGCTGGGGTGCCCCACGCTTGCCCACTCATGTCCCCCATGCCCTGCTCACCGGTCTCAGCACCCTCCGGACCTCCTGCAGGACCTTCCTTGGGCTCTGCACAGAGCACAGCACCAGTGTGCAGACCACCACATCCATGGAGTTGTCTGCCAGTTCGTGCATGTCTTCCCCCGGAGCCACCACGAAGCGCTCATACTGCAGGTGCTTGTTCGCGGCCATGCTCTTTGTCAGGAACTTCTCGAACTTGGGGTTCGGGTCCAGGCAGGTGACCCTACAGCCGGGAGGGTAGAACTGGAAATTGGCACCTGTGCCGCAGCCCAGCTCCAGCAAGGCTATCTTCCCAGAGGCCCCCTTGATTTTCTTTATATGACTGAATAGCTCCCGTTTCTTGCTTTCCATCCTGCGGTTGGTCTTGTCAGCCAGCACAGCCATGAGGTAGGGGAAGTAGCTTTTGCAGAGCGGCTGCCAGCAGCCGAGCAGAGCCATCAAGTGCAGCGGCAGGGTCAGCAGCAGCACCAGCAGCTGCAGGAGGCGCACCAGGGCGTCCATGGTGGGGTGGCTCTGAGCCTGGCGGCTGCCTGGTCACCGGGCTGCCCAGTCCCTGCACGGCCTCTTGTGGTAGGACTTTGCTCCCCAGCAAATGCCTCTGTGCTGGGCGGAGTGTGCTGGGTGGAAGCCCTCCAGAGGGCACTGTGGCCTTGGCCCCACAGGTTCCTCCAGCTTTACGTTCCGTGAAGGGACAGCTGGTGCGTGCGTTTCTGCATCCTAAGGCACAGGTGGGGGTGTGCTGAATCACCTTGAAGAGGAGCAGAAGGCGGAACAGGGAAGCCTTCTAAAAATCTCGGCCTCCTGGGGGGTGAGGGGGGAAGGGAGGGCTGAGTGCTGACTCATGGGGGCATGTCCTGGTCTCATGCTGCCCTCAATTTGGCTCAGGTTGTGCAAGCTGGAAATTCTGGTCGGGTTCTCACAGCACAGCCTCAAGCCTTTGCCCCACAAACAAAGTGTTCAGGGTTAGGCATGAATGGTTAGAAGCAGGAGAGAGATTAACAGCCGCAGGAAGAATACTTTTGGAACTGATCGGTGTCCGTGATCACATTTGAGGCCGTGAGGCCTCAGAAATAGAAGGAGGAGGGAAAAAGGGAAGAGTGGAGGAGAGTCAGGTGCCCAGGTTCTAGTCTGGGCTGTGCCATTAACGAGGCATTCTTGGGGCAGGTGTTTTCACTTTCTTACAAATCAATCAGTTAATTTTAATTAATTTTTGCTTATTTGAAAGGCAGAGGAAAGAGAGAGAGGAGAGAGAGACCTTCCATCCACTGCCTTGGAGACATTTCCCTAGGAATTATTAGTGAGGGAAATAATTTATTTTATTTAAAAAACGTGTATGTATTTGAAAGGCAGAGTTACAGAGAGATCTTCCAGCTGCAACGGCTGGGGATAGGCCAGGCTGAAGACTGGAGCCAGGAATTTTTTCCAGAGCTCCTGGGTTGGTACAGTGGCCCAAGCACTTGCATCATCCTCTGTTGCTTTCCAAGACACATTAGCAGGGAACTGGATGGAAAATGGAGCAGCTGGGTCCTGAATCAGTGTCCCATACAGGATGCTGGCATAGCAGTTGTTGACTTTTCCTGTTATGCCACAATGCTGAGCCCAAGGGAAGTATCTTAAAGACATGTTCATGTAGATGTAGAACATCTCTTAAATTTATTGTTGGTTATTACACCTTTCTTTGATTACTATAAGGAGTCTGTTCTTTTGTTTTTGTTGTTAGCAGTGAGCTTGCTACCCAAGTTTAACGCCAAGAAGTAATGAAGAGACAGAACAGGTGAGCATCCCAGTAAATCCCCCAGAGTCTGCAGTTTGTTCTTCGTTTCTGTCTTCACATGACTGTGAGTAGCACATAGAGTCATTTTTTGATTCTGTAAGTTTGGTTAAGAAGTGTTTTCAAAAGAATTTATTTATCTGAAAGGCAAAGTTACAGAGGGACAGAACTAGGGAGAAAAAGGCAGACAGATATATACAGAGAGATCTTGTATCTGTTTGTTCTCTTCCTAAATAGCCAGGGCTGGTTCAGCCAAAGCCAGGGACCTGGAACTCCATTCAGGCCTCTCAAGTCCTGGGGCTGTCTTCTAGTTTTCCGGGTGCATTAACAGGGAGCTGGATCTGAAGTGGAACAGCCAGAACTGGCACCAGTGCGTATATGGGATACCAGCAGTGTAGGCAGCAGCTTAGCTCATGGTGCCACAATGCTGGCGCTAAACATTTTAAAATAATATTAATTGTACCTATTTACATATCACAGTAGGACATTTCGATACATTTCTCTCTCTCTTTAAACCAAAAATACTTTATTGGTGAGTCATCTTAGGATTCCTTAGGGCATGTCAACCTCGATTACGATCTACAGCTTCACCAGGGTGTCAGAGAGCCCCTAGCCATGCCCTGACTCCCATGTCAGAATAGAGATTAAGGCCTAGGGTCCTTTGGGTTCCACTGAGGAAGCTCTCTCCCAGGATCCCATTTCTCTTGCTCTCCCTCCAGGTCACCTCTACTTCATCTTCGTCTGTCTGATACCTCTGTGTGGTCCCAGATTCCCTAAGGAGGGTTCTGTGACCAGCCTGAAATATTTCCCAGCCAGCCTGTGCTATCGTGGCTCCATTGGCAATGCATAATCTCTCCTCTGTAGCAAAAAGCCTGGCTCTGTACTCTGGCATCAATACATTTCTCTTTTTTGAAAGAGAGAAAGAGAGAAAGAGACATAGAAAAGAGAAAGAGAAAGATCTTCCTTCAGTGGGTCACTGCCCAGATGCCCACATAGCTGGGGCTGGGCCAGGATAAAGCTAAGCAGTTGGAACTTCATCTGGAGCTCCCACTTGGGCAGCAGGGACCTGGTTGGCAGACCATCACTGCTGTCTCCCAGGGTTTGCACTGGCAGGGAGCAGAATATGGGAGGAAGAGAGCATTCTACCTGCTCCTGGTTGGACAGCATGGCAGGACCAGCAGCAATGGCAGAGAGGGATGGGTCCTGGCTTCATTGGCTTGAGCCAGTGACTGCACCTTTCCAGCCACCACAGCTCTGGTTGTGGCAGCCCTTTTGGGACATATCCCAAACATGATACTTTTGAAAAAGGTTTATTTTATCCATTTGGAAGGAAGAGTGACAGATAAAGGAGAGACAGAGAGATTTGCCATGCACTGATTCATTCCCTACATGGCTGTAACAGTCAAGGCTGGGCTGGGCTGCAGCCAGGAACATGGAACTCCATCAAGCACATGGGCCCTCGCAGGTGCCTTAGCAGGGAGCTGGATTGGAAGTGGATTGGTGCTCTGATCAGGTAGTAGGTATCCTGAGCAGCAGCTTTGTGCACTGTGCCACAGCGCCAGAACCTGTTAGGATGACGCCAGTGATAACCCAGCACCACTGCTTTAGGCTTTCTGGGGCTCATTCCCTCCTCCATCCTGCATCCCTCCCACCTCCACTTCCTGTTGTTCCATGCTCATCACACCTTTGTGACCAGTTCTTTTTTTTAAATTTTTTTTTTTTAAAGATTGATTTTGTTTTTATTGGAAAGGCGGGTATACAGAGGAGAGACAGAGAGGAAGATCTTCCGTCCGATGATTCACTCCCCAGGTGGCCGCAACGGCTGGAGCTGAGCCAATCTGAAGCCAGGAGCCTCTTCTGGGTCTCCCACACTGGTGCAGGGTCCTAAAGTTTTGGGCTGTCCTCGACTGCTTTCCCAGGCCACAGGCAGGGAGCTGGAAGGGAAGCGGGGCTGCCGGGATTAGAACCGGTGCCCATGTGGGATCCCGGGTGTGCAAGGCGAGGACCTTAACCACTGTGCCGTCGCGCTGGGCCCAGTGACCAGTTCTTGACCTTGCATTTCTTCTATTTGAAACCCCTCCAGTAGTTTCTGCTTCCCAGACTGCATCTTGACTCGTTTACCCATGAATGAAGATGTAGACTTCCGAGCTGAGATAAAATGATCTGCTGCATCAATCAGCTTTGAGTTGCAAGCTGCCAAATCCTCAGTCATGCCCCCTTTTCTACCTTTACTTTCAGTTGATGAATGTTCCTACACCTCGTGATAGGAGCTATCGCAGATCAATTTCTATTTTCTAACACAAGACTACCTACATATTGCCTGCAGCTTCTCCCCTCAGTTCCCACTTGTGACAACAGTGTGTGTGTGTTGTTACTGTTGTCCGTATCTATCTGTATTATTTCTTCCCCCTCACCTTCTTAGTTTCTCACCCTGGCTGATTTTTAAACAGAAGAGCTTTATTGATATATAATCATATACTATAAAATGTACCATTTAAATGGTGCAATTCAGTAGGTTCCAGTATATTTGCAGAGTTGTGCAACCACCATGTCAATCAGTGTTAGAACATTTTCATCATTCTAAAGGGAAATCTTTGTACATTACAATCATTGACATTCCTTCCGCCTCCACCCCTAGCATCTCCAACTGACTCTGTGTCCCCGGGAACTTAGCTGCTCTGGACATTTTGTGTTGTGGAGTCCTGTGCCATGGCCTTGGTGACCTTGGTGCTAGCTTCTTGTACTCAGCACAGTGCTTCCCAGGTGCCTCCACACTGTAGTTTGTGTCAGGATTTCTTCCTTGTTATGTCTAAGTAATGTTCCGTTGTGTGTTTATGTTATTTTTTTTATTTTTTAAAAAAGATTTATTTATTTTCATTTCATAGGCAGATTTACAGAGAGGAGAGACAGCAAGAAAGATCTTCTGTCTGCTGGTTTACTCCTCAAGTGGCCACAATGGCTGGAGCTCAGCTGATCTGAAGCCAGGAGCTTCTTTCGTGTCTCCCATGCAAGGGCAGGGTCCCAAGGCTTTGTGCTGTCCTCGACTGCTTTCCCAGGTCACAAGCAGGGAGCTGGATGAGAAGCAGGGCCACTGGGATTAGAACCAGTGCTTCCCTCAGGGACCACTTGATGTGTTTACTGGATGGAATAGTATGAGGCCCATTCACTGGTTCATATCCTGCATGCTTACAGCAGCCAGGGGCTGGGTCAGGCCAGAACTGGGAGCTTGCAACTTAATCAGTCTCTCAAATGGGTGGCAGGGGGCCTGGTGTGGTAGCCTAGTGGCTCAAGTCCTCATCTTGCATGTACCAGGATCCCATATGGATGCCAGTTTGTGTCCTGGCTAACCTATTTCTCTTCCAGCTCCCTGCCTGTGGCCTGGGAAAGCAGCTGAGGACAACCCAAGGCCTTGGGACCCTGCATCCAAGCAGGAGACCTGGAAGAAGCTCTTGGCTTTAGATTGGCTCAGCACCGACAGCCGTTGTGGCTGCTTGGGGAGAGAACCAGTGGATGGAAGCTCCTTCCCTTTGTTTCTCCTTCACTTGTAAATCTGCCTTTCTAATAAAAATAAGCAAATCTTCAAACATAAAAGTGGGTGGCAGGGACCCAGTTACGTGGCCATCACTTGCTGCCTCCCTGACTGTGTGCTAGAAGGAAGATAGCTCAGAACAGAGTAGTTGGAACCCCACCAGGCACTTGAATGTGGGAGGCAAGTGCCTCAGCTGACAAC